TAAAAATAAGTTTTAGAAAAGAAAACCAAAACTAAATAGACACTCTTAGAACTTTTATTACAAGTGCTAATATTTGCAAGACAGCCTTGAACTGAACTATTTGGTCAGACCCTACATTACAGCGTGTTTCAACCTTTGGCTTAGAAAATGTGATCATTATAATGGCAGACTTTCCTTTTTCCTTTTCAAACTTTTTCCAGTTAAGGTAGGCCAGCCCTAGGGTTACTAGGTTTCTCTCTGAGCAAAAGAGAAGAAAGGCAAAATTATCTGTGATACTCAAGGAAAACAGTATTCCTTGCCAATGGCAAAGGAAAGCAGTATGGGCCAACTCTTATTAAACCAAAGGCATTAAATTAAATGCAAGAAAAGCAAGTCTTTTCTTGCATTTTCTTGGGGGTGTAGTTCCTCCTTGAAGTGAGCAGCCTACTTGCTGGGACTTAGAACTTTATTAAGGGGAGACTGTGCTCACGACTTTGTGGGTGTTTTCTACCATGAGCACCTACACAAACTCTTCAACCAAGGGTCTCAACAGAACTGGTAGACTCAGGTCCTCAAGAGTATCATAACCTCACAGGCCATTTGAAAGAATAGACTCAAGTACAAGAAATAAAAGGATTTGCTGGTGGCAGAAAACAGAGAAAACCCAGAGACAGGTCCTAGGAGAATAAAATGAATGCTGAGACTTAATTTCAGTTCTGCCACCAGACAGCTGCCTGAGTAAACCCCGGAAGTTCTGTTTCCAAAGAAGCTGTCTTTTGATGTTTTCTCCCTCCCACCCACACACCTTGCCCAGGACCTCCAATACAGATCACTACTTACCAACTTTCGATTTATCTCTGCCAGTACAAATTACTACCAACTGTGCTGGGTTTATCTCCTGTTTTTTCACTTTGATATGAGGATGAAGGGATTTAGCACATAGCAGGGCAACCCTCCTTCCAGGTTATGAAAAGGATTTACCATCAGGCCCTGGACTCTCACAGGAGCTCAGCAGTCTGCATTGGGAGATCTTGTCAGCAACCACTTCCTTATAGAACACCAGGCCCCCAGCTGTGGGATACCCAGCCGGACAAGACAACACTGCCATCTGGTGGCCTGGGAGAATGGCCTGTAGATCTGATGTCCTTGAAGAGCGAGGGTCTCACAGCCTCCCTGGATCACAGCCAACTCCTTTTCCAAACCTGCTTCCAAGCCTGCTTCTAGCAGGGCCCCTCCAGAAGCATCTCGCTGCAAAAAAGGCACAGGCTCTATGTCTGCTTGAGGACAAGGTGTGAAATCACACCCTAGGTCACCTATACTTTCCAAGTCAGCCCTGTGGATATCCATTCACACCCCATGTTTGATTTCTGTTGTTTTTGTTTTCCCAGGCTGTTTTCTTGAATAGAGATGTTCCCATTATAGAAAAAACACTTTCAAAGATGAATACACACTCCACGGAGCCACTCAGACCAGGGAGAGCCACATGGGCAGCTGATCTCACGCAAGGAGAGAGAACAGATGCCTTCGGAACAGCCACCGCCGGGCATCTGCTCAGAGAGGGCGACAGTGGCCGGGATTGTCAGGGGCCCTTCCTCCGCTGGATGTACTGAGTTTCAGACACACTGGGAGCCCCTCTCTGTCCAAGAGAAAACAAGCCCCAGGAGGTTAACAGTTCTCTCCTACCCTCCGTCCTGACCTGCAGAATGTGAGGAGGAGGTTCCTATCCCTCAGCTCTCCTTGCCTTCAGGTTCCCTGTGGTCCAAACTGTCCATGGGCACAGTTGCCACCTCCTCTGTGGGTGGAACCTAAATGTCCTTCCCACCTGCTAGGTGTGGGCCTGCTACTGCCAACTTGGGAAGATGGGCAGCGCCATCTTCCTTTTGTTCCCCTCTGATGGGCGTGGTGGTGCCTTCGGCTCTGCCAGACCCTCTCCAGCTGCTCCTAGGTGCTGTGCTGGGTGTAGGGAACTCAGCCCCTTGCAGCCATCGCTAAAATGAGAGATCTGGAGGTGGTGAGGCTGGTAGGAATGCCCTCACGCCCCAGTTTGTAGTTTCCAATCCAGCCGAGTTCCCTTTACACCCATTGTTCCTTCCCAGGAGCCTTTGCTGCACTCGGACTTCAGGCTCCAGCACCACTCATGGGTCATCTAACCAGCCCCTCTTAACCGCACAAGGTCAAACCTCTAGTCAATCTATCATTAAAAGTCTCCTGGGGCTTCCCTTGTAGCTCAGTTGGTAAAAAATCTGCCTGCAATGCAGGAGACCCAGGTTCAATTCCTGGGCTTTCAAACTGTGTTATGTGTCACTTGGGTATTAGTTTTCTAACGCATATTTTCACATCCCAGTCCAGAAACTGCCAGTATGTCTGGGGTGAGCTCAGGAATTATTAACAAGTGCTCTATGTAATTCTAATATGTTGTTGTTGATCAGTTGCTGAGTCACATCCAACTCTTTGGGATCCCATGGACTACATCACACCAGGCTTCCCTGTCCTTCACTCTCTCTCAGTTTGCTCAAACTCATGTTCACTGAGTCGAAGATTCCATCCAACCATCTCGTCGCCCCCTTCTCTTCCTGTCCTCAATCTTTCCCAGCATCAAGGTCTTTTCCAGCGAGTCAGCTCCGATATACGGATGCACTAGTCACACCTTGAAACTCACAGACAGGATGGGAGATCCTGGAGTCAGAAGGGTTCTCCTAAATAACAGGTACAGAAAAACAGCTGGAAAACCCTTCAGGGAAATGACTGAGACATTTTAGAAATAAAGACCATTTTCCTATCAAGTAATTCATATTCTTCTCAAGGAGGCTTGTACGGTCACCATCTCAGCCTGCTGCCTTCACAATTAGAGCAGGAAATGTGGCCCCTGCTTGTCACAGGCTCAGTTTGGCCAGCATTACCCCACTGGGCAACCCTGTCGAGCAGACTGCAAAAAAGCATCTCTGCTCTGACAATGAAAGAAAAAACAAACATGTACACAACATTCCAATTCAGTGGATGTAAATCAAGCCATGGCTGATGCCTCCAGAGTTAAGTGTTTCCCCCCAACAATTTCTAATATTATCAGATTCTTTCAATTCTGTGCTGCAGGCAGGAATGTAACTCATCTATAAAGTCAAGTCTCAACATAATTGAGCTTTATCACTGGAATCTTGCAAGCATGCTAAATTGCTCTGTCATGTCTGACTCCGCAACCCCACAGACTGTAGCCCACCAGGCTCCTCTGTCCATGGGATTCTCCAGGCAAGAATACTGGAATGGGTTGCCATTTCCTCCTATAGGGAATCTTCCTGACCCAGGGATTGAACCCACATCATTTATGTCTCCTGCACTGGCAGGTAGATTCTTTACTAGAGTCACCTGGCACTGGAATCTTAACGAGTCTGGCTAACTGTAAAAGCAAATTACTCTTCCAACCTATCAAAGGCTAAAAGGCTGCCCTTTTCAGGTGAGCAAGTGCAACTGAATAAAACATAAAAGCCACTCAAACAACTGGAGTCAGAGGTAGCTCTAGGAGGTTTCACGTCTAGCACATTCTGGACAAGGCCTTCAGGGAAACCACATTTAGTCTAGAGGAATATTAGGCTAAAATACTTTGCCCCTGGTGGTTGGGGGAAAATGGTCCTAGAAGCCTTGGGAGGGGAAGACCGAATAGAAAAGTTTAGGCACAAATTTATATAATTTTAAGTAGTGAAAAATTAAATCTCAAATTAACAGAAAATCCTTTGAAACAAATAAACTACACCTATAGCTGACAATTTTAATGGTTTATTTTATGTCAACTTGGTTGGATCACAGGGTTTCCAAATACCTTGCTAAGTATTCTTTCTGGGTGTCTGTGAGGGTTTCTGGATGAGATTAGCATTTGAATTGGATGAGTATTATGGTTGCCCTCCCCAATTTGGGTGGGCATCATCCACTCGTTTTCTCTTCATGTTGAGCTGGGACCAGTCTTCTCTTGTCCTTGGGGACAGGGTCTCACACCCATCAATTCTCCTGGTCTCAGGCCTTTACACTTGGACTGGAATTCATACCCACATCCCCTGGGTCTTGAGGCTGCAGACAACGGGTAATGGGAACTTCTCAGTCTCCAGAACCACACAAGCCAGTTACTAATAATAAATCTATATCCTATTTCTTCTGCTTCTCTGGATGACTATATAATAAAGATGACAAATACATTTTGAATGGAAGAGTCTGGTTTTCACTTGTGATGTTGTAAGAGAAATGAATGAGATGTCACCAATGCACTCTGCTGCCTAGGACAGAGTATTCAACAAGTATTTCTTGAACAAAATTTCAAATATGAATCCACTAGGGGTTTGTGATCATCTAAATTAATGGAAAGTCAACAGTAAAATTCCATTTTTCTTAGCCCACAAAGCAAATCACACCCCCTACCGTAATAATTTGTTCAACATCAAAAATATTAGTCCAACATTATATGTAATAGAGTTAGAATGTACTTAATAGTTTTAAAGCAAAAACTTCAGCTCTATCTAAGTTTAGGTCTCAATTTTAACATTTCTTAATTGTTTATAACAATTATTGCAGATTGCTGGCAAAAGTCCATATAAAGGGCTATTTGCTTTTACAATTTTATTGTTTTGGCTGACGTGAAGATTTTCCTTCAAAATAGTCATTCCAGGGATGATAAATCTTAGCATACTGTACTTACATTAATTTCATTCTCAATGAAACTGAGAGAGTTAAAGGTAACCTGTCCATCAAGGCAAGCTAGGTGGACTAAATAAATTCTAAACATGTTCTTTGTAAAATGGGCTATTATAAAATGATAAACTGACCAAAAGAGTCTGCTTAGCTCTGGATGACAGAAAAATACAAGAATGAAGAAAATGAAAGGAAAAAGAAATTCTGTTTCCTAGCTCAGTCCTGGAAGAAGGCAAGTTATAACAAAATAAGTGCTTGGGGCTTTATTTTTTAATAAAACAAGTTAGTCCAACAGTTTCAAGGTACAAACTTGGCCAGTTTTGAGCTGATCAGTGACAAGGGCCCAGAAGTCAGTCTTTCCGCAGAGGAATAGTCTCCTCCCTGATGCCCTCCTTGGTCACAATGCAGATCTTGAGTGCGTCCCCAGTGTACACATCTCTCTCAGCAGCAGAAATGAAGACATCTTTCACAAGCCGCATGGCTCTGTCCAACGACAGCGGGACATGCTCCACATTCTGCATGTTCTTAAAACCAACCTAGTGGGACAGGAAACTTGGATGAGGCATCATGTGATCATGTAAAGGAGGTCCAGTCTCCCCCAAAGCTTTCACAGGTCTCAAGAGTCAAAATGAATACATCACACAAACTTAAAATGTCCCCCAAGGGAAATGTTTCTAGACCTGGCTGAATTTACCCATACCTGACACCTGACAAGCATCCACTAAGACAAAGTCCCCACTTCTGAGAAGCACACAGCAGAGGGGTAGACACATGAAAGCCAAGTATGGTTATAGAATGTGCTGAAACTAAGAAGAAAATAGAGCCAGGAAAGCCCCCCCAGGAAATGTATTTGAGTAGAGGAATCCTAACAGATAAACTGGAGCTAAACGGATGGAATCACATTCCAGATGGAGGCATGGAGACGGGGAGGCACATCATTTCAAGGATCTGAGTGGAATACAGAGACAGGAAATGTGGTAGATAAGCAATGAGCAGAAGGAACTGCACATATTTCAAACAAGCAAGGAGGATCAAACAGGGAAGTAAGCTAGGAGGCACAAAGGATGTTAGAAAATTAACACAATGATCCAGGCAAGATGCCATGCAGGCATGAATGCAGCCAGCAGTAACAGAAAAGGGAAAAATTAAAAATATACATGGAAGTTTGAATACAAAATGAGGTGACCGAAATGGAGAGACTGGGGGAGAAATGCATTTTCATGATCTCTACATAAAAATGGCAAAAGGAGAAGTGAAAACATGGACCAACCACTGTAGACAGAAGCACCCCGAAGTAACGAGAACAAGAAGAAGCTGGAGCCACGTAAGTGAGTGGCCACAGGAGAACTAGCAGAACAGAGACAAGAAGGTGGGTGAGGCCAATTAACCAAGCAAGCTCAGCAGTGAATTACAAAAAAGCCGTGATTTCTCGGCTCCCCTAGCTAATGAAGAGAAGGCAAAGGAAGGCACTTGGGGCTCACCCGCCGCCCCCTGGATGCAGTCTCCTTACCTGGTTGTCAAGCAGCGGCTGCAGCATGGCACTGGCTGAGCCTCCGGCCTTGAACGAGTCCCTCTGGTAGGACCCTACCGGGTCAAAGCTGTACACGGCTCCCTTCCCTTAAAGGAAAGTCTCCGTAAGAGTGCATCCTGACAACATTCCCAAATTATGGTAAAATAAACCTAATCAAAGTGTGACGCAATATGGACTATCAACTTGGCTAAAATTTAAGAAGTGCGGTCTGCTCCTCCCCTCCCTTCAGAACGCAACTGGAGGCCCTCCTGCCCACTCCTGTCCATGATGGCATTTGCCACAAGGAGCTTCATACTCTCAAAGCTGCTGTCACCGACTACTGTGATGGGGTTCCCTGTGCACATGGGGTGTTAGCGGTCACAGTGCTACTCTAAGTTCTGAACCAAGCTCCTCACAACATTCCTGGAAAACTAACTGGTGCAGCTGCAGTGCAGACATGCATTTAAGATTCTCCTAGTGTTAAATATAAGCAGAAGCACAAAAAACTTATTACGTGTTTTTAGACTAATGGTGAGCACATCTTTAGCATCAGTACCATAAAAAAAATCAATAAAGAAGAAATTCCAGAAGAACACAAATGTCACATGCAAAAGGCTAGATTTGCCTAAAATGTAATCACTTGTTTTATACTAGCAGTATAAAACACTAGTACTTTTTTGGGGGTAAGAAAAACAGAATCTGAGTACACTGATTCTTATCATGACAGTTACAGAGACCTGTCAGGGGGTAGGTAAATGGGTCCTCAGGCTCTCCTGAAGTAAGTATAAACTGTTATGCCACTGGAGTCAGAATCCACCAAACTATAAAAGTATGTACCCTATGATCCAGCAATAATTTCACTTACAGAATTAAAATTGACCTACAAATAACAGTTATATAAACACACAAAGCAGTATGTACAGGATCATTTATTTATCTCTGAAAGATCAAAAATTTACAAGCAACCTATCCATGAGCAGAAAATGTTATGTTCACATAGCAACACACAGCCTAGGAAGCAGCTGCGGGACACCCTCACAGGACGAGCCAAAGGAAGAGCTGCAGTGTGCACGGCAGTTTCATTTTCATTAAAGGCATTAAGTAAGCAGCACACACACTTACACAGGCACACAGAAACACACAGAAAGATGAATACGTGAACTGTACTCATTCATTTTCGTGGGATTAGAGACGAGGAAAGGGAATCACTTTATAAGCTTTGGTACTGAGTGTATTAAAAAGAACACATGTCACTATAACTTTTAAAGAGAACTTTTAAAAACAACTGTGTTCTGAGTGTGAGAACTCAGGAGTCATTTATAAAGTATGACTTAAAAACTAACAGATTCATGCAGAATTCTGCAGAATTACATAAACATAACCCTAAGCCTAATAACCCCACGAAGAAGGCAACATCTGAGAAAACCTGAAGAAGTGTTCTGCTGGAAGTAAGCTTGGAACAAGAACCCAGATTGCAGCAAGTAAGCTCACCAACTTCAACACATAAGCAAAGGGCTATGAAGGATAAAGTCAAAGGATAAAGGATAAAAAGACAAAGGATAAAACAAAACCTCGTGTTATCTTTCACGAGGCCAATAGGCCACAAGTAAAACAAGGTCCCAAAAATTTACCCAAGGGTAGGGGGCTTCCTAGGTGGCTCAGTGTAAAGAATCCACCTGCCAATGAAGGAGACACAAGTTTGACCTCTGGGCCGGGAGGATCCCACATGCTGTGGAGCAACCAGGCCTGAGGGCCGCAACTACAGAAGCTGTGCTAAAGAGCCCAGGAGACCACGCGCCCCGGGGCCCGTGCTCCACGCAAGAGAAGCCACCGCAATGAGAAGGCCAAGCACTGCAACAAAGAGCAGCCTCCACTCGCCACAACCAGAGAAGAGCCCATACGGCAACAAGGACCCGGCAGGGCCAAAATTCCATACATGACTAAATAAAACTATATATATGCAAAAAGATTTACCCGAGGGAAGCCAACCTCAGAAAACCACACACAACAGCTTTGAGGAAAACGAAGAGTAGAATATGTCCAAGACCCCTTAGAAAAAGCAAGAGACATTTGTAACATAAGCTGAAAACAGTTGTTATAAATCAGCAAGAGAAAGACTAACCTGCATGTAAAGGAACAAGTGATGACCAAGACATGGGTCAGTCTCCAAACAAGAAATGAAAAGGGCAATAAACATGAAATCACCCAAACTCAATAAAAACAAAGAATACATATAAATTATAACAATGTGTTTACTAGGCAAAGACTGTCAAAATGTGTTAAAATTCTGATAATGGTTAGGACGCCAAAGCAAAACAAGAAAACCCCAAAACAAAAGACAAAAATGGTACTCACACCCCTGCTGGTGAGTGCAGGACCCTTTCTGATGGGCAAGCATGTGGTATCAGCAGAAAGGAAAACACAGATATTCTCTGATCTAGAAACTCAACTTCCAGGAATTTTTTCCAGGGAGATATCACCCACGTCTTTATCCATCAGCACAAATCTAACCCGTGACAAAACATCCACAGCACAGTCAAGGAAAAACATGTGAACTATGGCCTACTTACACAGTGCAGAAGCATACATGCATACCAAGAAGTTTAATAGTAATTACCTCTAGGGACAGGCTTTGGGGGATTCCCATTTTTATCTTCCAATACTATTTGACTACTTCTATAAGCATTACTGTTTTTGTTAACCTGGGGGAAGATTCTTTTAAAAGAGGTCATGACTACAACTGGAGAGGTGAAGGCACAGAGGTCTAAGCAGCAGCTGCGGACTGTGCTCGGTCAGCTGCTGACCGAGTGTCCTGAGGGTCTCCATCAGGAACGCAGCCTACCTCTAACCAAAAGACAGGAAACAATCTCAAGCCTCAGTGGAGGCTCTGGACTTGGAAGCACAAGGCTTAGGCACAGACAGGGTAAAGGCAGGTTCAAGAACAGAAGCATTAAATGGAGAGCTGATGAGCCACTCCACCACATGCCTTTATGACCAAATTTTGATTATCACTCTTCAGTATGAATGGACAGCCAAAATCAAAAGAAATTTGAAGGAAGCCTCCAATATAGAAGAGCGAAGCCAAAATAAACAAGACCAAAAAAGCAATCTGATAAAATGCAGAGAACCCTTCAAAGGAAGTACCTCAAAAATCTAGCAGTAAAAGGATACTTAAAAAAAATAAAGGAGGTAGAAAATAAGAAAAAGCTCTTGGAAATTAATGATGGAGGAAACAGAAAGAGTTCAGTGAATGAAGCACGAGGCACTGAAGTTGAGAAAATCTTCAGAGCAGAACAAAAAAACCCCAAACAGCCAGACAACATATGGGGGAAAGTTTTTTTAAAAAGCAAAAAACAGTAGGATAGAGTAAAGACTCTAAAAGCAAAGACTCAAAAAGGTCTCCCGATATCTTTCTTCAGAAATTTCTCTAGCAATGCACTCCACTAAACAAAGAAATAAACCAAGAAAGAGGAAAGGATGGGAGTGAAAGTGCTGAAGACTGTCCTGGGAAACAGGAAAAGAAGGCAAAGGACTATTTCACTACACACAGAAATTCCTCTTAGGAACAAAAATCAAATTAAACCAGAAAAGATTAGGAGAAAGAAAAACATTAGGAAAGCCTGAGAATACCACCAAAGCAAGCTAGAGTGTTAGCACGTGGAAATCAAAGCCTAGGGCTCTGAAGTCAAACAGATCCAAACCTGAGCTCTGCCAGTCAGTACACATGTGGTTTCTCAAATCAGTGACACTCAGAACAACTCAAAGACACTGTCTGGCCTGCTGAAATTCAATAGCAGCTATTATTCATGTTGGTAAAGTCTGAATTTATTAGCCTGACACTCAAATCAGACATAAGTGAAGTTACAAAAGGCACCAGGGGAGGCCGCGCGTGTTCAGGGAGAGGAAGAGAAGCACACACTACCACATGGGAGACAGATGGTGAATGGGCCGCTGCCGTGTGACTCGGAACGCAAAGCCAGGCTCAGCAGCAGCCTAGAGGGCGGGAGGGATGTTCAAGTGAGACGGTAAAGTGTGAATGTGTTTGGTAGAAACCAACACAACACTGTAAAGCAATTATCCTTTGACTAAAAATCAGTCAAAAAAAAAAAAAAAGACAGCAGAAGCATACTGGGTGTTAGGCAAGCTAACCCGTGGCTAGAATTACTCAGGTTATGGGGTAACTAATTTCTATTCACCATTTCTATGCTCTATATTTTCTGTGTTTACGTATGAAAGCCTGAAAAAACTATGCCAACCTAAAGTGATCAGAATGCTCCCATACATCACATGAGGGGTGGGGTTAAGAAAGAAAGGGAGAACAAAGAAAAACACCTGTGAATGGGAATGGACAGGAGCAAAAACTAGAGAGAGAAGATGAAAAGAACCTGACTCCTTCTGACCCAGAAACTTCCCTCTCCGAAAGACAGACTTGGGTTTTCCTGGTGGCTCAGTGGTAAAGAATTCGCCTGCCAATGCAGGAGTACATGGGTTTGATCCCTGATCCGGGAAGATTCCATGTCTCAGAGTAACTAAGCTCATGTGCCAAAGCTACTTAGCCTGTGCCTCAGAGCCTGGGAGCCACAGCGCCCAAAGCCCACACACCCTGTAGCTGGTGCTCCGCAATAAGAGAACCCACTGCAATGAGAAGCCTGTGCACCACAGCACAGAGCAGCCTCCGCTCACTGCAACTACAGAAAAGCCTGCACAGCAATAAGGACCCAGCACAGCCAAAAAGAAATAAAAATGCTTTTATAAAAAGAAAGAAAGGCACAGATATTTCAACCATGCTCTCCTCAGACGTTTCTGTGCCCTCTTTTCACAATCTCCGTGCTTGGGCTTAGTCGCCCAGTCGTCTCCAACGCTTCGCTACCCCGTGGACTGGAGCCCACCAGGCTCCTCTGCCCATGGGACTTCTCCAGGCAAGAATACCGGAGTGGGTTGCCATGCCCTCTCCTCCAGGGGATCTTCCCAACCCAGGGATAGAATCTAGGTCTCCCACATAGTAGGGTGGATTCTTTACCATCTGAGCCACCAGGAAAGCCCTCTTTTTAGAATGGACTACTCTAAACAGCAGCACAGATCTGTCCTGGGAGATGGTATTTGATTTTTAGAAGCAACTAAAAGTTCACTGACATCAGATCTGGAGAAAAACACTGTTGCCTTTTCTGGGTAACACAGCTTTAGATCAATACAAACATGAAAATGTCAAGTAACAACACTGATTTTCCCTGGCCTTCCTGGTCCAACTCTGACAGAAAATTAAAGAGGTGTGTCAAAAATGATCCAAGAACACTGGTGGAAAAACATTTCTTTTCACATTACTTTCAAAACAACTTTTTGAAATCAAATATGCTTGTTACTGAAGTGTCATTACTTAGAATCATATTTAGGTCAAGCTTCTCCAAGTCAAGTTTCTTTTTGGAAGATTAAAATGCTAAATATCTACTACTGAACTCATGCAAGATCTTGAGGAAATATCTGTAAAAGAACTGAATGCCCAACATTCACTTAACACACGACCTGCTGTGTCTCACTGGATAATCCTTTACTTCCGTTTTAGCTTCAGTTTCTTCACTGCCTTAATTATGAGAAAATAAAGTTGCTGGGTAAGATGGTATCCAGTTTTTATCAGCTCTGGATGGAAACACACATGTAAGAAATGCTACCCACTCCATCACCCAGAAAGGAAACATCCTACCTTCTTCATCAAGCCCCCCGATGATGTTGTACACATAGTAGGGAAAGAAGCGCCTGGAGTACAGGATTGTAGACAGCATCGCAGCAATCGCCCCGGTAGTCATGGCCTTATTATTGGAGTGTTTGTACATCTGCAATTATTAACAAAACCAACAGGCATGTAGAGGCAGAATATACTAAAGACTAGAACAATGAACAGCAAATTGAAAAGAATGAAAGCCTTTCCTGGTGAAATGAGAAAGGACGCCTGTTCCTTTCATAATTAAACAACACAATAATACAAAAACATTTTATTTTATGTCCTATTGTTGTGAGGGCTACAGACATTTCTCAGGGAGAGAACACCAACTTGCCCTCAGCTCTCCAGTTTGGAGGCTCCTTTCCATGCCATCCTTATCTCAGGCCCTCTAACTCAAGAGCAAATACACACAAGATCACATGAGGCAACCTGGAGAGGATATTCCAAACTCAGCTCTCCACTGTGCAAACTGACAGTGGTCAGGAAGATCCAGCCCATGGGCCAAATCTAGCCCACCACTTGTTTAGGTGAAGTTTCACTGGAACACAGCCTTGTTCATTCACAACATATTGTGTCTGTTTTTGCACAAGGGCAGACTTAAACAGTTGCCCCAGAAACCAAATGGCTGACTCCTGATCAGACTCAGACAAACCTCTCTCTTTTCAGAGTAGGTATCTGCGAGAGACGGGGGCAGCTCTACTCTATGAATCCAGCAGAGAGCAGGGTCTTAATTCTTAGAGCATCTACCAGAACAGAAGTATCCAAAATAGCACCTGACACAGTGATTTCTGATCCTAGATTTACTACATCCTTGGCAATCTTAAATTATCCAATAAAATTAAGTTCACCGATTTGTCAGCCACAACAAACATCTCTAAAGAGAAACCTAAGAACTGCTATAAGTCTAACAATGACAATTAAAATACTGAAGAAAGAGGAGAAATGGGCTACTTATATAAGTTGATGAAATATATTTTTCCAAGATTATAAAGAAAATTCTTCATTTCATTCCAAAACCAAGCACCAGTATTTATTCACCTCACCATTTACACAATATGTGAAAGAAAATTTTCAAGTACTGTGCATTGAGTTGAACTCACTGTTTACCTTTTTGAAATTTTAACAAAATACTACCTTCCATGTCAGCTTTATTTTTGTCCTCTAAATGCCATTTACAAAATATACATTAGGAATCATACAGATGTCAATACCTAGGTCACTACAGCTTTCAGTATCAATAGATTTTAAATAAATGTTAACAATTGGTAAATACTCAATGAAATCATTTCTACACATTAAAAAATGTAAGTGTCAGTTAAAGTCACTACATAACTCCAGTAACCTTACTCGTGATCTTAAGGGTTATCCACAAGCAGGCAAAACAGAACACCAACCCTGCTAACCTTTTCATGTACCAGCTGAACTTACCAACTACTAAATTATTATAATATACAGCCTAGAAAATTAAATATGAAAACTAAAAAGATATAATACTGATACTGTAAATATCATGAATAGAAATTTAAAAATGTTACCAAGCTATATAACTAAGAAACAGAGCTACACTTCTGAGTACTCACATAAGGTGACTGAGAATCCTACCTTAACCCTGTACTTTACGAACTAAGAAGAGCACCATTACTGATAAAATCTGTATAAGTACAGCCCAAATTACTATTCTACTCTCCCTGAAACGATCTGAAGCAAATGCTGCTAGCATACACAGGCCAGAATCAACATCTAGACCTGCCTCTGCTTCTGTCAAGTCAGTTCCCTCGTTCTTCAAAGACCCCTGGCTCCCAGAGACATGCAGGTGGTGCAGCATCAGCCCCTCTGAAGACTCCACTGCAGGTCAGTCTATCTTATTCTCTTCCTTCTCCCTCAACCCACCCGTTCTCTTGCACTCCCAACCACCACAATTATGTCAGATCTCCTTCCTCAGCTGGCTGTCAACTAAAGACTGACAGGGGTTAGGTGATGACTGTGCCTCTAGTCCAAACAGCTGGCTCGTCCTTCTTCTGCTCATGCTAAGAGTACACTGCTGTCAAGAGAGTGTGATGTGTTGGCTGATGGTGTTTCAAACCAAGCTCCGGTCTAAAAGCCTGCCTCCTCTGCAGAAACTGATTTACTTCATTTCTGAGAAGAGTATCTTCAGAAGAAACCCTTTCCAGTCTACCTCAAAAAGGAGAGATAGTCCTTCACTTCATACTGTATGTGTATTTTAACAGAAAGGAACTTGCTGTCATTTTACATTATGCTACTTTGATGATGGCTGTATTAACAAGATCGTGTCATTTGTAGGGTAGGTTAAAGTTTCACCTGCTAAAACTAGTTCTTCTCCAGCTAGCAATAGCCATGATGTATGCTTAAAATAATCTAAAGAATTGTTGTTATTAGCTTTCATCAGTGTAGACATGTACAAAAGCATCTACCTTTAGTCTTGCTTCAATAATTTTGGTCAGGGTAAGACAATCTCCATGGAAACCGCTACATCCAATGACTGTTTTGTCTGTTCTGTTAAAAAAAAAAACAAAACAAAACACCACATTTCAGGGAACAGTTGGTTTGACAGTAAAGTAAAACATGTCTTGAGTAATTTTAAATTTAAAACTCACAAACTCCCATTTCCATTCGGTGAATAAATTTTAAATTTAAAATTATTCAAGACATGTAGGCACATGGAGCGGGGATTCCTGTATTGCGAAGTCTCACCCCTTATACCAAATGAATTATAGGTGGATAAAGACGTATGAGAATAAATGCAAGCGTGAATGCACTAAATATGATCTAATTTTTTTTAATAAGGTTAGGTTGAGGGCAGCCAATTTACATATAATACAGCCCAATGTCCACACAGAAAGCTTCATAGATTTGACTGCATAAAAAATGAAAACTTCTATAAAAATTTGAATTAAAAAAAAAAAAAAAACACAAAAAAACTGGGAGTGTCACGGCCCAGGTTCAATTCCTGGAACTGGGAACCCATAAGCTGCTCAGTGTAGCCAGAAAGAACTAAGAAAATATATTTGTAGTATACACGACCAGACCAAAGTCTACTTTTAATCTCCTTATTCTACAAATAGTTCCTGAAAATATGAAATGCATTAACAGCATAATGGCTCTTGGGGATAAGGTGCATAGTCAATAACATCATATTGTATATTTAAAAGTTGCTAAGAGAATAGATCCTAGAAGTTCTCATCATAAGAAAAAAAATGTTATAACTTGGGTGGTGACAGACTAATTGTGATCATTCTGCAATATACACGACTATGGGCTCATTATGCTATATGCCAGGAAGTACTAACATATTACACGTCAACTAGGTGTGCGTGTGCTCAGTCGTGTCTGACTCTGTGCAACCCCACGACTGAAGCCTGCCAGGTTCCTGTCCATGGAATTTTCCAAGCATGAACACTGAAGCAGGTTGCCATTTCCTACTTTAGGGGATCTTCCTGACCCAGGGATCAAACCTGCATCTCTTGTACCTCCTGCATTGGCAGTTGTCTTCTTTACCACTGCACTACCTGGGAAGCCCCCAAATGTCAATTATACCTCAATAGAAAAAACAAAAAACCTATGATGGAAAGACAGGTAAGTTACATGAAAGTTTTAGTGTTCAGTTGTGTTCAACTCTTTGCAAATCCATAGACTGTCGCCCACCAGGCTCCTCTGTACAGGAGGAGAATTCTCCAGGCGAGAATACTAGAGTGGGTGGCCATTCCCTTCTCCAGGGGATCTTCCTGATCCTGGGATCAAACCCAGTCTCCTGCAGAGTCTTTACTGTCTGAGCCACAAGGGAAGCCCCTGAATTACATGGAAGTCATGTGAACAGAGACACAAGCTACCACAAACACACGGAAGAGCCTCCATGCCACTCAGACATTAAATCTAGACGAGAGACGATTTCAGCCTAGTAGAATAAGAATGTTTAATGCTAGTGAGGTTGTGAAAATTGGGTACTCTCAGAAAGTGGGAAAGGGTGTATACTGATCCAACTCTTAGAAAGGATGTTTGACAGCCTGTACTAAAAACTTAAATGCACATCACTTTCACTCAAAAATTCCACTGCTACAGATATACTCATGCAAGTTTGTGAAGATAAGCTCTAGGTTCATGTGTAAGTATACACATTATTTTAATGACTCTCCAAAACAAAACAAATACAACCCAAATGCCCACCAGAGAGTACTTAATAAAATTTTTGTGTATCTTTGCCAACAAAGGTCCGTCTAGTCAAAGCTATGGTTTTGCCAGTTCAGTTCAGTTGCTCAGTTGTGTCCAGCTCTTTGCGACCCCATGAATCGCAGCACGCCAGGCCTCCCTGTCCATCACCAACTCCTGGAGTTTACTCAAACTCATGTCCATCGAGTCGGTGATGCCATCCAGCCATCTCATCCTCTGTTGTCCACTTCTCCTCCTGCCCCCAATCCCTCGCAGCATCAGAGTCTTTTCCAATGAGTCAACTCTTTGCATGAGGTGGCCAGAGTATTGGAGTTTCGGCTTCAGCATCAGTCCTTCCAATGAACACCCAGGACTCATCTTCAGGATGGACTGGTTGAATCTCCTTGCAGTCTAAGGGACTCTCAAGAGTCTTCTCCAACACCACAGTTCAATTCTTCGGTGCTCAGCTTTCTTCACAGTCCAACTCTCACACCCATACATGACCACTGGAAAAACCATAGTCTTGACTAGATGGACCTTTGTTGGCAAAGTAATGTCTCTCCTTTTTAATATGCTATCTAGGTTGGTCATAAATTTCCTTCCAAGGAGTGAGCATCTTTTAATTTCTTGGCTGCAGTCACCATCTGCAGTGATTTTGGAGCCCCCCAAAAATAAAGTCTGACACTGTTTCCACTGTTTCCACATTTATTTCCCAAGAAGTGATGGGACCAGATGCCATGATCTTAGTTTTCTGAATGTTGAGCTTTAAGCCAACTTTTTGACTCTCCTCTTTCACTTTCATCAAGAGGCTTTTGAGTTCTTCTTCACTTTTTGCCATAAAGGTGGTGTCATCTGCATATCTGAGGTTATTGTTATTTCTCCCAGCAATCTTGATTCTAGCTTGTGCTTCTTCCAGCCCAGGTTTTTCCAGTAGTCATGTACAGATCTGAGTTGGACCATAAAGAAAGCTGAGTGCCAAAGAACTGATACTTCTGAACTGTGGTGTTGGAGAAGACTCTTGAGAGTCCCTTGGACTGCAAAGAGATCCAACCAGTCAATCCTAAAGAAAATTGGTCCTGAATATTCATTGGAAGGACTGATGCTGAAGCTGAAGCTCCATTACTTTGGCCACCTGATGTGAAGAACTAACTCAGTGAAAAAGATCCTAATGCTGGGAAAGACTGAAGGCAGGAGGAGAAGGGGATGACAAGGATGAGATGGTTGGATGACATCACTGACTCGATGGACATTAGTTTGGGCAAGCTCTGGGAGCTGGTGATGGACAGAGACCTGATGTGTTGCAGTTCATGTGTTGCAAAGAGTTGGACACGACTGAGCAACTGAAATGAACTGACGCCTCAAAAGTTAATTCCTAAGTCTTGATATTTATAAGGAAACCTAAACCCATCTCATCAAGAAATGACCAGCAGAGGCCCTTTCTTTTAGAAATAAAAGAATGATTCACACAAAACATATCTGTCCAACTGGGGAGACCACTGATACTTCTAGGGTCATCACTAGCATTTCCTGATCTCTCTATAACCAACCTCACTGCACTGAGCCAAAGATCCCAATATACCATAAGGCTTCACTGCCTGTGCTACCAAGAATGGCTGATAGTACCAGGAGGGTAAGACAAAATCTGAGCTTCAAGATGCTTTTGCCAAGTATCTAGGTACCTAAATGAAGAAAAGTTTTTCTGCAAAGAATAAAGAGTAAATATAAGTTTCAAACAAGTTGGAGAAGAGGTGGGCTAGGCTCTAGGTGAGCCCCAAAGGGCACGGGATCAGGAGCATGCTAGCAATTCATGTGTGACCCAGTGCCTGAGATGCACGACAGGAACACAGAAGTAATACTCTTCTCACTATATATACCTGAAGTATTTCATTAAAAAAAAAAAGAGAGAGAGTACTCACTCAGGAGGCACACAAGCTAAATCAGAATGTTACAAAGATGAGCACACTCATGTACAAGGACAGTATCTATAGCATTATGTACTTAAGTTTTATTCATGACGTTTACTACTTGCACTTTATAAAAGTTACATCTTAAAAGACAAAAATTGTTGCATGGGTATGCCACAAGGGCTTCCTTGATAGCTCAGTCGGTAAATCATCTGCCTGCAACACAGGAAACCAGGGTTTGATTCCTAGGTCAGAAGAACCCCCTGGAGAAGGAAATGGCAACCCACTCCAGTATTCCTGCCTGAAGAATCCCATGGACAGAGGAGCCAGGCAGGTTACAGTCCATGGGGTCGCAAGAGTTGGACACGACTTAACAATGAAATCACCACCACGCTACAAATCAGAGAAGAGAAAAGGGTATCAAAAGATGGAAGTGGACAGAAAGGGAACTGGGAAGATGAAGACAAGCTAACTGTTCTTTAGGTTACGGTGTGGGCTGGGCCATGTCCTGCAGCACCACAAGGCCCACCCAAAGGACCTGAACCTCATCAGTCCACTCCTGCTAGAATACAGGATTAAGAAGCGCTTGTGTACTAACCTAAGAGTAACCACCATTTTCAACTGTGTCCAAAAATGTTAAACACAAACCACTGTTAACTGTTAATGTAAGGTGCACTTAGTAATTTATGCAGATTCCCCCCACCCCCAGTACACATGACTTGATTTTCTTACGTTTTAGAAAAAACATAGCCACCCACTAAAACTGTGAGCTACGGATATATATAACTGCTTAAGATATGGGTAGATTGAATGTTTTAGGTTATTGTTTTTTAAAGGTGCAGATTAAAAAAGAATCCAATATATTAAAGGACCCACAGAAGGATTAAAATACATGATAAAGTAGTAACAATAAAATGCTGATAAGATCTACGTGATAGTATATGAGCACTGACTATAAAATTATCCTACCTTTTTGTATATTTGAAATTTTTTATAAGATGTTGAGTAAAAAATATTTGTTACCAAAAACACTGTTGGTACCTAGATATGGAAAATATCACGAAGACTACATACTGAATTACTAGAAAATAATTTTCTAACAAAAATGCAAGCTAAGCTCCAAACAGGCAACCTAAAAATTCATGAAACACATCATTTAAAACCTGAATCTTCTGCCACATTAAATCATCACAAGGTGCTGAAAACATGTCTTTAGAAATATTTACTTACAATTTGTAACATTTGGGGCTGTCCCGTGTGTGAATTGAAAACCCTTCACTTAATCTAGTGTCAGAAGCAACAATTGAAAAATCTTCTCCAGCAATTGCCAATACAGTACTGAGGAGAAAAGAAGGAAAAACAAAATTAATGAATTCTTCTGGACATTAATAACACCTTTCCCAATATGAGAATGCTCCATAGCACATACTGAGATAAAATCTACTAGATATAATCAAGTGCAGGATTCAGATGGAAGAGGAAAAGGTAATGGGAAAGGATCCCTGGCTACAAGTCATCTGGGAAAAAAAAAATTTAAGGATTCCCTTAAAAACACAAGTCAAATCAGAGCAAAGTTTCCTTAGCAGAAGATTACAGAAACATCCACCTTCCCTTGTGGTTCAACTGGTAAAGAATCTGCCTGCAACGTGGGAGACCTAGCTTCGATATCTGAGTTGCGAAGATCCCCTGGAGGGCATGGAAACCCACTCCAGTATTCTTGTCTGGAAAATCCCCATGGACAGAGCCTGTCCATGCGATCAAGGGGTCGCAAAGAGTTGGACACGACTGAGCGACTAAGCACAAAATTATCACTATCGTCAAAAAATTAAACATATCATTGATTAATATGTATCATTAAACAATTACTGATACTATAAAACGGCCAAAGGCCATGGCCCTGCCTGCTGGGGAAGGTGTAGATAGTGATACAACACAAGATATCTGAGCTCAAGAAAGAGGGGCTTAATGTGGTTTTTCTTATTATTTTTTGATCACGCCACACAGCATGTGGAATCTCAGTTTCCCGACCAGGGATCAAACCCATGTCTCATGCTTTGGAAGGGCAGTCTTAACCACTGGACCACATGGGGAGTCCCAGGGCTTAATGTTTTTAATTTCTTTATATCCAAGTCCTTATATAATTGTCTTGCACTCAGGAGACACCCAAGCATCTGTTGGAAAATGGACCAACAAAGAACAACCTTTTCCCTCTGTGGCTCTGTTCAGTGGGGGCCTAGAGGATAAGCTCTAAAAGCAGACAGTGTGGGTTTGAGGTCTGGCTCTCCCTCTTAGAGGATATGAGATAGTCAACTGCTTAAATTCTCAAGGCCTCAATGTCCTCAAACACATATCACGGATCACAACAGTAGCTACTTTATTTGGGTGTTACAAGCATTAAATGGACTAAATTGTTAAGCCTTATACCAGTGCTTGAAACATAACTGGTCCTCCAGTTAAGTGTTAGCTATGATCCCTCTGGCATAAGTATGATCACCTGGACTCTGAAGTTACCCAAAACCTGTCCATGCCACTTAACAGCTCTGTGACCTTGGACAAAGTATCAAATTGGTGATACTAGCAGTTCCTGTGTTAAAGGTTGACCGAGTTAAATGGCACAATCCTAAAGTATTCAGTGACCAATGCACAGGCTAATCACTTGGAGTTTAACCACATTCAGTCAGAGTAGAAAAAGACACAGGACTAAGTCTTATTTTGTAGAAGCAAAGGCTGCCCAAGAGCCAGCAAGGAAAAGAACACAGACTAAGAAAAGGTAATTTAATATCAGAAAGCCATAAGCACTAACTTTAGAGCAGTAATTGGATTACAAAGGTTAGAAAGTGAGCAATAAATACTGAATACCTTATTAAGTCTCAAGCAGAATCTCCAACTGTCTCATGAAATGGGTCTAATAACTCATTTGGTGATCCCACCACTTCATTAGTTGTCACAGGAAATATTTAAAAGTGCAATGATAAAAGTATTCATAAAATTCCTAGCAACACAGATATGGATTCAAGTCCTGGGGTTCAAATTCACACCAGTGCTATGACTAACAAAATTTAACTTCTAAGGGCCCAAGTTCATTTGTAAAATTGAGGTATATATTATTTAACAGTCAGTCATCATGAGGATTAAAAAGATACCTGCTTTCAATCTACAAAATGCTTCTCTTTTGATTCTTCTCTCAAACTCTGAGTAGCTAAAGGAAGATAAGGAAATCTGGGTTCAAGAAGCTGAGAGACCACACTGCTCTTTAGTGTCAGAGACAAGGCTAAAATCATAGACTTCCACCCTCTTTGCAAGTACCCCAAAAATCTACATTAAAATTTCAAACCTATAAAGTAAAGCTTAGTAAGTAAAGTCGCTCAGTCGTGTCCAACTCTTTGTGACCCCATGGACTGTAGCCTACCAGGCTCCTCTGTTCATGGGATTTTCCAGGCAAGAGTACTGGAGTGGGTTGCCATTTCCTGCTCCACGGGATCTTCCTGACCCAGGGATCGAACCCGGGTCTCCAGCATTGCAGACAGACGCTTTACCATCTGAGCCACCAGGGAAGCCCTCAAACCCATAAGGACCTGAGCAATTAATCTGGTCATCAGATGGTCTTTAAAAATTACCAGAGTAATTAATTGGGTGTGTACCTTTCAAAGTACAAAATTTGGCTGGCAAACTATAAACGATGCTTAAATACACAGCTCTTCGCAGTTAGGAGTCCTGAGTGTCTTTCCACAACCCTGGTTCTTTTAGTGCACTATCAAGGAAAAGTATTAAGATAAAGCTGGTAAGTTTAAAAAAAAAAAAAAAGGAAAACTTAAATACAACATGCAAGAATACACATAATCAAAGGTCCTCCTTCTGCGTATTTTTCCCCTGAACTTATGTTAACCCTTAAAAATAAACACTGATCAATGAAACTAAGTCTGCCCAAGTAATCCTACCTGCTATTTAAAACAACTCAAAATGGTGATTTGATTAGACCTTTTAGCTAGATACAACTACATCTAATCACATGGCCAATCAAACCTAACTCTTAAATCTCAGATGCTCAACCTGCCCCGTGCCTGCTGGCTCGAGAAACACGTTCAGACAGAGAGGAAACGTTAGGTCCATTTTTAAAACTCTTCCAGAGTGGAGGTCAGGTGTCAAATTTCTATCTGCTGTCTACGTAAAGCTGGCCGTCCAAATCGAGATCCAGTGACCGGCCTATAAGGTGAAGCCCTGAAGAACAAGACATAGCCGAGCAACCTCGGAGAGGGAGGCCTGAGACTGGAGGGGCAGCGCCAGGCAGACAGGCTTAAGCAGGGACATGGAGGAAGAAAGAGAAAGCGGCGGCTCTGCGGGCTTTACCCTCCGTTGAAAGCGTAGGGCGAAAACCGCAGCTGCAAAGGGCCCACGGCGCTGTGAGGTTCCATGGCCAGGTCTCGGCCCGCGCCCGAGTACGCCGCAACGGAGGGCAACATTCCGTGGCTCCGCTCCTGCTGTCTCACGGCAAGATGGCTGCCTCGACCGGAAATTGTGCCGCTTCCGGTTTCCGCGGCGCTGCCTCCGGCCGCTCTATCTCGCGCCAGTCGTTGCTCTTGGAGGCCAGAGCCTTTCCCTTTCAGTTGGTAGCGAGCGCCCGCTCTTCGAAGAGACCTGGCAGTGAGGTGCAGGCTTTCTTTTCCAGGCAAACATTCGAAGTCACTCGTGATGGGTAGAAATTTTAAAGTCTGAGCTTACAAAGAAATTGGAAAAACTATGGAGCAACGGAAACTCGAAGACTCTATTGGAGTGTAAATTAGTACAGCTGTATTTCGAAAAGGGACTGGCATTACTTGACATAGTTGAAAATACACACACATCATGACCCAGCAGTTTCACGCTGAGGTATGTACCCTGGCCAGAAAGATGTGTAAGAATGTTCATAAAGATGTTCTTAATGGCCCCAAACTGGAAATGAGCTAAATGTTCATAAACTGCAGAATGGATAAAGCAACTGAGGGATGTGCCAAAGCTAGAAAATAAACTGACTTTGGCTAGTGGGAAAGGTCCTGCTTGGCTAAGGATGGGTTGGAGGTTGTAGTGCCAGCAATACTGGGTTTCTTTACTTGATTTAACGTGCGCCTGCTCAGTTGATCAGGCTTGTCCGACTCTTTGCGACCACATGGACTATATAGCCCAGGAGGCTCTTCTGTCCATGGGATATTTACAGGCAAGAATAGTGGAGTAGGTTGACATTTCCTCTTCCAAGGGATCTTCCTCACCCAGGGATCGAACACCCATCTCCTATGTCTCTTGTATTGGCAGGCAGATTCTTTACAAACGAGCTACCAGGGGAACCCTTTGTTGCTGTTTTCAGTCCCTAAGTCGTGTCCAACTCTTTGCAACCCCATAAACTGCAGCATGATAGGCTTCCCTGTCCTTCACTATCTCCCAGAATTTACTCAAACCCATATCCATTGTGTCGGTCACATCCAACCACTTCATCTTCTGTCGTCCCCGACCTTCTCCTGCCCTCATTCTTTCCCAGCATCAGGGTCTTTTCTAATGAATCAGCTCTTTGCATCAAGTGGCCAAAGTATTGGAGCTTCAGCTTCAGCATCAGTCTTTCCCATTAATATTTAGGGTTGATTTCCTTTAGGATTGACTGGTTTGATCTCCTTGCTGTCCAAGGGACTCTCAAGAGTCCCTTCAACACCACAGTTCAAAAGCATCAATTCTTTGGCACTCAGCCTTCTTTATGGTCCAACTCTCACATCTGTACATGACTGCTGGAAAAAATCACAGCTTTGCCTATACAGACTTTACCAGCAAAGTGACATCTCTGCTTTTTAATACACTGTCTCGATTGGTCATAGCTTTCCTTCCAAGGAGCAAGCGTCTTTGAATTTCATGGCTGCAGTCACTGCAGTGATTTAGGACCCCAAGAAGATCAAATCTGTCACTGTCTCCACTTTTTCCCCATCTATTTGCCATGAAGTGATGGGACTGGATGCCATGATCTTCATTTTCTGAATGTTGAGTTTTAAGCCAGCTTTTTCACTCTCCTCTTTCATCCTCATCAAGAGGCTCTTTAGTTCCTCTTCGCTTTCTGCCATTAGAGTGGTATCATCTGCATATATGAGGTTGTTGATATTTCTCCAGGAAATCTTGATTCCAGCTTGAGGTTCATCCAGCCCCACATATTGCATGATGTACTCTGCATATAAGTTAAATAAGCAGGGTGACAGTGTACGGCCTTGATGTACTCCTTTCCCAATTTTGAACCCGTCCATTGTTCCGTTCTGTTGCTTCTTGACATGCATACAAGTTTTTCAGGTGATAGATAAACTGGTCTGGTATTCCCATCTCTGTAAGAATTTTCCATTGTTTGTTGTGATCCACACAGTCAAAGGCTTTAGCAAAGTCAATGAAGCAGAAGTAGATGTTTTTCTGGAATTCCCTTGCTTTCTCTATGATCCAATGGATGTTGGCAATTTGATCTCTGGCACCTCTGCCTTTTCTAAATCCAGCTTGTACATCTGGAAGTTCTTGGTTCATGTACTGCCCTTACTTGATTTAATACCATCTATTAATCTGTATACATGTCTACATACTTTATGTAAATATCATATTTTACAATTTAAAAATGTTAATTAAAAAAACAAGCAAGCCTTTGACTAATATAGAATGGACTACCTGATATATACATGCAATTCTGGAAGCAGAAAAAGATTTTTGAAAAGTATTTTTTTAATTAAAACTTTTCCTATACTTTACTGTAAATAAAGGGTAAAAGAAAGGGTTTTCTTTGATGGTTATTGACAGAGAAGTATTGTATTTATTCAGGTACTGTCTTGGATACAAAAATTCTGTAAAATCTTTCCTATCCTTAAGGAGCACACAACCTCACTGATTATGTGAGGTACAAAGGAAGCAAGCTAACAAGCATTACAACCTGCGACTATGCCTAAATAAACCATCGGATATTAGAGATACCAAGGGAACATTTCATGCAAAGATGGGCATAATAAAGGACAGAGATGGTATGGACCTAACAGAAGCAGAAGATATTAAGAAAAGGTGGCAAGAATACACAGAAGAACTATACAAAAAAGATCTTTATGACCCAGATAACCACAATAGTGTGATCACTCACCTAGAGTCAGACATCCTGGAATGTGAAGTCAAGTGGGTCTTAGGAAGCATCACTACGGACAAAGCTAGTGGAGGTGATGGAATTCCAGCTGAGCTACTTCAAGTCCTAAAAGATGCTGCTGTGAAAGCGCCGCATTCAATATGCCAGCAAATTTGGAAAACTCAGCAGTGGCCACAGGACTGGAAAAGGTCAGTTTTCATTCCAATCCCAAAGAAAGGCAATGCCAAAGAGTGTTCAAACTACTGCACAATTACACTCATCTCACACACTAGTAAAGTAATGCTCAAAATTCTCCAAGCCATGCTTCAATAGTACTTGAACTGAGAACTTGCAGATGTTCAAGCTGGATTTAGAAAAGTCAGAGATCAAATTCCCAACATCCACTGGATCATCAAAAAAGCAATAAAGTTCCAGAGAAACATTTATTTATACTCTTATTATCTAGGCCAAAGCCTTTGACTGTGTGGATCACAACAAACTGGAAAATTCCTAAAGAGATAAGAATAGCAGACCAACTTCCCTGCCTCCTGAGAAATCTGTATACAGGTCAAGAAGCAACAGTTAGAACCGGACATGAAACAATGAACTGGTTCCAAATAGGGAAAGGAGTATGTCAGGGTTGTATGTTGTCACCCTGCTTATTTAACTTATGTGCATACTACATCATGTGAAATGCCAGGCTGGATGAAGCACAAGCTGGAATCAAGATTGCTGGGAGAAATATCAATAGCGTCAGATATGCAGATAACGCCACCCTTATGGCAGAAAGTGCAGAGGAAATGAAGAGCCTCTTGAAAGTGAAAGAGGAGAGTGAAAAAGCTGGCTTAAAACTCAACATTCAAAAACCTTAAGATCATGGCATCCAACCCCATCACTTCATGGCAAATAGATGGGGAAACAATGGAAACAGTGACAGACTTTATTTTCTTGGGCTCCAAAATCACTGCAGATGGTGACTGCAGCCAAGAAATTCAAAGATGCTTGCTCCTTGGAAGAAAAGCTATGACCAACCTAGACATTGTATTAAAAAGCAGAGACATTACTTTGCCAACAAAGGTCTGTCTAGTCAAAGCTATGGTTTTTCCAGTAGTCATGTATGGATGTGAGAGTTGGACTAATTCTTCCAGCGCCGAAGAATTGATGCTTTTGAACAAGAATTGATGCTTTTGAACTCTTGTGCTGGAGAAGACTCTATAGAGAGTCCCCTGGACTGCAAGGAGCTTAAACCTGTCAATCCTAAAGGATATCAGTCCTGAATATTCATCAGAGTGATGCTGAAGCTCCAATCCTTTGGTCACCTGATGCGGAGAACTGACTCATTGGGAAAAGACCCTGATGCTGGGAAAGATTGAAGGCAGGAAGAGTACCGGACGACAGAGGATGAGATGGTTGGATGGCATCACCGACTCGATGAATGTGAGTCTGAGCAAGCTCTGGGAGTTGGTGATGGACCGGAAAGCCGGGCGTGCTGCAGTCAATGGAGTCACAAAGAGTCTGACACGATTGAGCGACTGAACTGAACTGAACCATCGGAGAGGTCCTCTGGGGTCTAATTTTACCTATAGTTCTTGTGGCAAATGTGAAAAGCCTTCATAAGATGGCAGCACGCTCTCTGGTTTTTTCTTTTTTAGTCGTTCCACATGTTTGAGAATAGCGAACACCGCTTACCGCGCACCAGGCACTGTTCACGCATTTCCTTAATTCTTCTCACATTGTTCTCGGAGGACAAGCCCTATTACCGTTCCATCCTATACGCGAAGAGCCTGAGGTGGAGCGGTCTGGTAACTTGCTCAATGTCACACCGCTAGTTGGTTTAAACAGTCAATATTTAAAAATCAGTATCTGTCTACATCCAGCGGCGGCCAATCAACATTTTCTGGCAGGGTGGCCTCTCCCGGAAGCCAGAAGCACTCCGCCCCGCCTCTTGTTTCTCAGAAGTCGAGTATCCAAGGGAATCAGAGGAAGTCACTAGGCGTCCACACTTACCACCGCCGGCGCCCCTCGTGGGCAGCTTGCTAAAGCAGAGGGTGAAACTGGCGGAAGTGACGTTATCAACGCGCGCCCGGAGTCCTGTGGGATCGGGAAGGGTCGCCGTGGCGGGCGCCTGGGCAGTTTGGTGCAGAACTTCGTTTTCTCCGACCGGTAGTCGTCTCTGCAGTGACTCCAGGTAACCACCCTGTTAGCTTCTCTCTGAGAATTACTGCAGAGTGGTCACTGCAACGACTTCCTGGGGGTGGTGGAGCGGAGAGGCACGGAATGGATCCGAAGACCAAGGGGGCCGTTCCTCTGGTTCCTGCTGCCGCCCCTTCGGCCTGTCCCGGCCGTGGCTCCCGCCCGGCGCTCTCTGCGGTGGTTCGAGAGCGGCTTACCTGTACGAGCGCGGGCGCAGGGTGCTGGTGGGGTCTGAGGCAGCCCAGTCCCGCTCATCCAGGAGCCTGCCATCCCTTAATTCTCTTTATTGAAAGGCATATTCACCCTGGCCTGTGCTCACCTGTTTTGCTACCAACAGGGGTAGTTTTATAATAAAGTTGAGCTTGAGACTTTTTAACGTTTTTTCAGAGGCCAGAGACTTCAGGCACGTTAGAGCATAATACACAAATACAAAGGTGTCCCTGTCTAGGCCCTGGATAGTGTGGTTTTCGCATGTAATACTTAGGTAGGCGTCTCTGAAAAGATTATTCTTGATTGAGAATAATCTCCTCGCAGACACGAGGAGACTATGCAGAATTTATTGATTCTTTTCCCTTATCAGTGATTATCTCCCCAAAATATCAAATTTGACGCTTCAGTTAACCAAAAGATGAGGAGATGCTGCAAACAACTCTGTTTTCTGGGGATAAGTTAGTGCAGTAATAACTGTGCGGCTTTAAGGACACAGGGGAGGAAAAATTGTCTGTACCATCCCTTCGAATTAGAGATGAGCTCTAAACAATGGTAACATTAGGCCTCAACAACTTCCTCAGATTTTTTTCTCTAGACTTAGTTTGCAGAACGGGGTAAGGAGCCACCAGTTTCTGGATCAATCTGTTCGTATAAATGAGTGGTTTCGATCCTGCCCTCATTATCTCTTGCCTTAACCATAGCAGTGACTCTTAAACCGAACTTCAGCCTCCAGTTTTGTCTCTTAGAGTTCGTTCATACTCTTGCCACAGTAGATATACTCATGGTGCACTTCAAAACCTTGTCACTGTTTGTATTGCTTATGTAATATAACGTGACCCCACTTACATTTGCTGTCTCATCCCCTGCAGGAACATTCCATGCAGTCATGCTTAGTTTGTTGCTTGCATGCTCTTTCAATTTCTGTCTCTTTGTGCTTGACCTTCTACTTGAAATGCTGAATGTAAATTCCTACTCACCTTGCTAGACCCAAGTTAGATATTCCTTGCTTTATAAACATACTCTTCTGAACACTTGGCAGTTAACATTGCCTTTCTTTTCTCTAGCATGTATGCATTCATTTGGGGCCTCCCCGGTGGCTCAGCAGTAAGGAATCCACCTGTAGTTGGAGGAGACACCAGTTTAATCCCTGGGTTGGGAACATCCTCTGGAGAAGGAAGTGGCAACCCAGTCCAGTATTCTTGCCTGGAAGATCCCACAGACAGAGAACCTTGGTGGACTATATAGTCCACGTGGTTGCAAAAGAGTTGGACATGACCTAGCTACTAAACGAAAGCATGCATTCATTCATCAACATATTATATGTCAGACACTGTACTAAGTATAGAGATTTCAAAAACATATATTCCTGGTTTCTTCACTCGAGGGGCTTAGCATAGTATGTATCTGCTATTATAGCACTTAAGTTTTGCAGTGATTATTTGCATATCCTATACAAATTGAACTCTTTGATGCCAGGGACTATATATATATATATATATATATATCTCCTCTTAATTTTTATATTTGCAGCACTTTGTTGTTGTAATAGAATAACAGTGTCCAAAAGAGGGTAATTTTCTTATATGTCTGTTTTCGGAAGCAGCTTTCCCTGTGTTTGGTCTGCTTTCCACTGATGGGTATGTAGGATATATAGTCTTCGGAGTCCTTTGTCTTCAGAGTCACTGCCAGATTCTGAGTGCTTTTTTATACAAGTACGTGCTTGCGGTACATGCGCATCTTTGACATATAATTTGTAACTTTAAGATTTATATGTTCTGTGTGAGAATATCTTACTAGATTGGTAACATTTAGACTGAAATCTAATAGTAATAGCTGACATTTATCCGGTGCTTACTGTGTTATAACTGGATGCTGTTCTTAGGGTATTAATCAGTCCTGTTTGAATCAGTCAGTTCTCACAGCAACCTTGAGCACAATAGGAGTCCATATGAGCTAAACTGAATAGAAGGTCTTTCATTAGTCACTCGGTTCTTTAACCTAAAAGGAATTTCAAATGTGTAGCTAGTAAAGAGATGATTTAAGGAAAGCCAGGTACAGGCATTTTGGTATTTGTGTGCTCTGAAGGGGTAAAGGTATTACATATATAAATATATGATGTCTTATTTTTATGTCGGTACAGCTTCTATCACAGTATGTTATTTAAGGTAGTTTCTCAATAAATGATCACGCTAAAGTGTATTGGATACAATTCAAAATTTATTAAACTTAATGCCCAAGACATTATAGAGGATAGAAAACTGAATGAAATATTTAAAAACTTAAATTCAGCCTAATAGTACCATGTATACAGTGCATAATAATTCCTACTCAGATATGACAGTTTCCTTAGGAATTCATTTCCCTTGGATATTTTTCCCCAAAAGTTTTGAATGCTGGTATGTACCTTAACATTTAACATTATAAGACTATAAATTGAACACATAAAAAAAAACAGTTTTTGTCCTGTTGACTATTTTGCACGCAGTCATGAGAAACATGGAAGGAATAAAATTTCAGCTTTGTGAGGTAAAGGGAAATGGATTCCAGAATAGCTTGATTGGGTTTTTAAATTTTTTTTTTGTATAACCATGAAACTGATTTATGAGGCTGTATAGCTTACCTGTATTCTTACATTAAACTTCAGGTCTTTTCAAAGCAACACCACTGTTTCTTAGTGTGCACGAAGATAACCCATAGAGCTGAGGAAGTCTCCAAGAAGAGTGTGCTGGGGATGCTCTAGGAAAAGACTGAATGCTGAGGCAATTTCCAGTCCAAAGGTTTTTGACTTGCCAAGAAGGTGAACATCATGGATCAGAACAACAGCCTCCCACCTTATGCCCAGGGCCTGGCCTCCCCTCAGGTAATGCAACTGGAGGGAGGGTGCATGTAGGACAGAATCTGCATTGTTAGAGATATTGTATAGGGGAAGGAAGGGAATTAAGCCATCTGTTGTTGAAAATGGACTTACAGTTTTTTAAGTCTTCTTTATTTCATTGAGAATTTCCTTTAGATTTTTAATAGGCATGATAGCATTTAATTTGGGAAGTTTGGAAGCTAAAATATATATTTGTCTATAAGACTTAAATCTTTTGATAAACACTTATGAAAGTGGTCTGAGTGATTATAGAGTGTTTGATTTCGGAAGTAACCTAATTATTTTCTAGCTTTATCTTTTCCTTTTTATCTTTAAGGTTCCAAATAACATATCTGCTTTTAAAATTTTTAAATAACTTCTGTTAAATAAAAATACCCATTTTAAATGTGTGTTTTGATAAGTGTATGCACCTGTGAAAGTTCTGGAACATTTCAGTTAGCCTAAAAATCCCTCTCTGCCTCTTTACGGTTAGTCCTCTGGCCCCAGGCAACAGCTGATCCACTTTCTAGACTTAGAGATAGTTTTGTCTACGCTAGAATATCATGCAGGTGGCGTCATACCAGTTGGTATGTGCTTATTGTGTTCCTGTCATCTTAGCCCAGCATAATGTTTGCATATATCAGCAAATCCCTTTTTATTGCCAAGTGGCCCTCTTGTGTGGATGTACCATAGTTTGTTTTCCAGTTGCTGACATTAGGGCTGTTTCTAGGTAGAAGCAATTATGAATAAAGGTGCTGTATGTGTATATTCTTCATGTCTGCTATGTTTTTATTTCTCTTGGGTAGATACTTAGGAGTGGGATTGCTGGGTCATTTTGTAAGTGTGTGTTTAACTTTATAAGAAAGTACCCTGCGTGTTCTCAAGTCCCGCCAGCAGCGTGTGAGAGTTCTCATTGCTCCACACCCTCACCAGCACTTCTGTTTTCACTTGAGTCTAAAAGTAAAAGCATTTTCCTGTTAACTTACAATCTTGAGCATTTTGTCAACTGCTTATTAACTGTTTATGTTTCTTCATTTGTAAAATGTCCTTCACTTCTTTTGCCCATTTTTTATTGGTCTGTTTGTTCATCTTTTATTGCATTTTGATTGTCCTTTATTCTGGATACAAGTTCTTTCTCAGATGTATGTATGGTAGATGTTTTCTCCTAATCTGTGGCTTAATTTTTAATTTTTTTAATGCTATCTTTCAAAGAATAGAAATTCTCAATTTTTTCCGAGTCTTAGACCATTGTTATCCTCTAGAGCTTGAAGGGTTAAGCATCTTCCTAACTTCTCATGTGTTATTCGTTGAATTTCATACCTAGGTCTACTTCCACATGCTAAGCTCTTACCTACTATGCTACGGTGAAGAAGAAAGTGATGTGCGTGAGATGACAGCTTAATAGCCCCATTTGTTCTTGGATGGTGCCTGTCTTTGCACATCTCACCTGCAGTTCTCCCTGCCAAGTGCTGCAGACACTTGACACCAGCCAGCCTAACACATTGTTCTCTTAACTGTCCACAGGGTGCCATGACTCCTGGAATCCCTATCTTTAGTCCAATGATGCCTTACGGCACAGGACTGACTCCACAGCCTATTCAGAACACCAACAGTCTGTCTATTTTGGAGGAGCAGCAACGGCAGCAGCAGCAGCAGCAGCAGCAGCAGCAGCAGCAGCAGCAGCAGCAGCAGCAGCAGGCGGCAGTGGCAGCTGTCCAGCAGTCGACGTCCCAGCAGGCAACCCAGGGGCCCTCGGGCCAGACGCCACAGCTCTTCCACTCACAGACTCTTACGACTGCACCCTTGCCGGGCACCACTCCCCTGTATCCCTCCCCCATGACCCCCATGACCCCCATCACCCCTGCCACGCCAGCCTCAGAGAGCTCTGGGATCGTGCCGCAGCTGCAGTGAGTTCTCCTTGCGTGTCCTGTCCCTGCCCTGGAGGGACCCCCCTCTGCAACTTCGCTGCTGTTCTTTGTTCTCAGATGGATTGACTTATTTGTGTGGTATTAATGGTGATCATGCTTTATCTTACTTGACAAGGGAAGGAAAGCTATCTTACTGAGTCAGTGCCCCCAGTAAAGGTCTCTCAGAACATCTTCAGAAATTTGGTAGCTGTGCTTGTATGCTTGGGCCAGTGAAGTCCAGTTTGGATTGCATTATTGTTGTTGACATTTTGCTGTAGCTGATTAACCAGATCAAGCCTTATGTAGTCTCCCTCCCTTGTGATATTTTAAGCCTTTGGAAAGATTAATTGCAGAGTCACAGAATCATCATCGTTCATAGTGGTCCTTGTTTTTCTTCATTGTTTATTATAAGGGCTGTGTATAAATCTTTGAAGAGTTGTATCCTTCCCACAAGCTGAGGATGGCTGTTCTTGCCCTAAATGGATTTTTCTACCTGTGTGAAGTGGGTCCTATATCTAACAGAAAAGGGGGTAGGGGGACAGGTAGGGAAAATTCCTCCTCCCTGAAAAACAGATATCCTCACATCTGTCAGTAAGAAGTATATAGCTTTTGCCTTTAGGAAGCTTATAACCACATGAAGGGTTATTTGTAGTAAATACATCACCCAGTTTTCATGCAAGTTATTCCTAATCATTTTTAGAACTAAGTAATGTTTAATCATGGATCATGACTGTTATACAGAGACCTAAATCTTGCCCTTGGTGTTTGTTTGATCCAAAACAAGTTAAAAAAACAAAATAATTTTAATCTTAATGATTGTAGAAAGATAAGCACTTATTAGTTCACCTTTGTAAGCACCATACGCTATTGTCTTGCACAGTTACCTGGCTCCTATGCCCATTTAAGTTTGCATCTTTGGTTTAAGTTGTAATTTATACCCAGTTCAGATGGGGTGTTTATTTCTTGCCAGCACCTTAATATTTCTGGTATTCCACAAAGCATCCCAAGAAATTCACAGAATTGTGGAAATTAAATAACATATTTTTAAACATCCAGTGGATCAGAGATCACAGAGGCAGTTAGAAAATAGTTAAGACAAATGAAAATGAAAATAGTATATAGGGCTTCCCAGGTGGCGCTAGTAGTATAAAGAATTGCCTGCCAGTGCAAGAGGCGCAAGAGATGTGGTTGGATCCTTGGGTCAGGAAGATCCTCTGGAGTAAGAAATGCAACCCACTCCGATATTCTTCTCCGTGGGCAGAGAAGCCTGCTAGACTTAATGGAAGCCTGATGGAGCACAAAACATATTTGGGATGCAGCAAATATTGAACTAAGGGTGAAATTTGTATCTGTAAATGACCACATTAAAAAATAAATATTTCAAAGCAATAACATTACAACTAGAAAAAGAGCAAACTAAACCCAAAGCTGTAAGAAGGAAGGAAATAATGAAGATTAGAGCAGAGATAGATAAAATAGAGAAAAAGAAAACCATAGAGAAAATCAATGAAACAAAAGATTGGTTTTTTGACAAAAATCAACATTTAGTTAGACTAACAAAAAGTGAAGACTCAGAGTACTAAAATCAGAAAGGATAGTAGGGATGTTGCTACCGATTCTATGAAGTAAAGTTATATGAACTGTGTATATAAAATTGATTAGAAGAAAACAGATGTATAAGAATATTAAAAAATGAAAAGGGAGTTTTTGTCTCCCGCCTGCCATGCTATGAGGTGCAGGTGCCGCAGCACAAAGTTACAGAGGCGCTGCTCCAGAATACCGGTCACCCCCTGACATCAAGGGGAGCAGAGGGCAGGGTGGGGGCCCCCAAAGAGAGGAGAAGAGAAAGTTAAAAGAGTTCACTGGACCTACATAATAAATATCGATGTCTGGTTTTCTTGATCTACTTAGAGTTGATCGGAGGAAAAAGCAGGTTTCCTTCCTTTGTCAGAGATAATTGAATTTTTGTTTGTCCGAGATTCTTATTTTGAAAGAAGTGAGAAAGTCATACCTCACTTAGGAGCCATAGGTACATACAGAGCAGTTTCTTCATCTGAAGATGGCAATATTTATAGTTATTACTTCATAGTGTATTGTAAGTACTAAGTGAGGTTATCTATGTATTATGCTGGTATGGTGTTTGGTACTTGTTTAAACACTTAATGTCAGCAATTAAAAATTTGTTTAATTTAAAAAAATTAGGAAAGATTGTGTTTTTTAGATAATTAACAGTAAATAATCATGCTTTCTTCTCCAATTTCTTACAGAAATATTGTATCCACAGTGAATCTTGGTTGTAAACTTGACCTAAAGACCATTGCACTTCGTGCCCGAAATGCTGAATATAATCCCAAGGTCAGAACAATTGTAATGTATCAAACCATAGTGATAGCAGAATTTTCTTCCAAAGGTCTCTAGGTTAAAAAGAATATGTTGTGTTAGTTTGTTGACACCAACAAAACAAGAATTTGAAGCAAAATATGTAGTATTTTTATTGAATAACTGCCAAGTAAGAGACTGTAAGAATATAGCAATCCACAGGATGAAGTTTAATATACTTATTGTAAGAGGATCTTGTGAAGTTACTGAACAAAATATGTAGTGTGATCCCATTTATGTTTTAAATTTTTTTTTTTTTCCCATTTATGTTTTGAAAACTAGAATAGAATGCCAGGCTACTTGGAATTTACTTCAGAATAATCCAATTGGAGAATTGGGAAAGGGGCATATGAATGAGACAAGATTAGCCAAAAACTAGTAATTGTTAAAGTTGGATATTATTATTATTAAACAAGGAAGTTTAATATATTTTTCTACCTTTGTATAACTGCCCAGTCTTTTTAATAATAAAAAGATTAAGAAGAAAATAGCTACAAATTTTCAGATTTTAAGATAGCAGCCTAATGCATATGGCAAATCCATATGAGTGTAGCCTTATAAGAATTAACCTTTTTTCTATCATAATGTTATTAAGTTGAATACATAATTTTACATATTTTTTTCCTAATGAAATGATAGTAGTTATCCAACCAGTAAAACTGGTTAAAGGAATTTAGGAAATGTAAAAAATTATAGAAGGAATTTAGGAAATGCAAAATAATTAGACATTTCCTGGGACTTGTATAGACTAGAATATAATGCTAGCATTTTTACATGGTGGTAAAGTTAGAAGGAAGACAGATGGTAGTTTTTAAATTAAAATTGTTAAAGCTGTCTAACTTGTCAGAGTCATCTTCATTAGAAATATGTAAAAAAGAAAAAGAAATATGTGAATTTTTTTGTGTGTAATTAGGTAGCAGATATTACATTTTTTAGATAGGCATTGCATTTATATAAATGCCAATATATCAGTGCAGTTTCTAAAAGTCTACGGGAACAGGGACTTCACTGTGTGTCGATATGCTTGTAATCTGATTTATTCCTTCTGGAGGTGGAAAGGTTTGTAAGTGGATTTGCCTAAAAAATCATTAATAAAACAAAATTAATAGTTAAAGTTTTGCAAATATTATCTTCAGTTGTTGGGATGTGCATGACAGAATATAAAAATCTCGGTCCAGCTGCCTCTGTCATCACAGTTTACATGTTTGTTTCCTATGCAAAAGCGTGTGTGCCACGCGGTGATGGAAGGGAGTCCTATAAGGAAACACATGACAGGTGTTATAACTGTCTCAGTGCCAGGTCCTTCTCGTTATTTCGGTTGTTCTTTGTTGTTGTGTAGTTCTCCTGATGGAAGTCAGCAGTCTGACCTCATTAACTGTTGTCCCTGGCTGTTTTAGCGTTTTGCTGCTGTAATCATGAGAATAAGAGAGCCCCGGACCACTGCACTGATATTCAGTTCTGGGAAGATGGTGTGCACAGGAGCCAAGAGGTGGGTTTAAAGGAGTTCATTGTCCTGGTCTGCGTGTTACGGAGAGATGGCTGTGTCATGGTATCTAGATGTTAGGCTACTACTTTAATACAGTGTTGTTGCTTTCTTATTAAAGTAGTTGATTCTCATCACCTTAGACGGTGGTAGCTTCATTTTCTTAAAAATAGGCATTAGTTTAGGATGTGTGTTCCGATCTTATTTCTGTACAGTTCAGCATGCCTGTGTGCCAGATTTTTGTCATTTGTGACCCTGCACTTGAGAGCCTTTTGTCAACAGTGATGTTACTGCTTTCATTCTGCTTTTGTTACATAAGCCCTGCACTGCTAAGTCATATTTTATCCAACAAATAAGTTCTAGGAATGGATGAAGAAAGACATGACATAAAAGAGGAATTAGTGTATGCATTCTTTGAGTATAAATCTCATCAGTATTTTCCTATCAAAATGACGCTTGTTGGTTTTTATCTCAGTAGAAATTTGTGGGCTTAAATACAGCAATATTAATGATAATGGTGATGCTGATATTATACTTCATATCCATGAAATCTGGGGCTATCAATAATTTGGTGAATTGAAAGGTATTCATTTTGGTAGGCCTACAGTTTTCTGTCAAGGACGTGGGAAAGTTACTCATCTAAATAATTGTGTTAGCTGTCCTTGAGTATGAATAGCTCACTTTTTCTTTCCTAGTGAAGAACAGTCTAGACTAGCAGCAAGAAAATATGCCAGAGTTGTACAGAAATTGGGTTTTCCAGCTAAGTTCTTGGACTTCAAGATTCAGAACATGGTGGGGAGCTGTGATGTGAAGTTCCCTATAAGGTTAGAAGGCCTTGTGCTTACCCACCAACAGTTCAGTAGGTAAGTCTGAAATACATGGTGGTTGCTTTTGGCAACAATTTTAATTTATAATCTATTTAAACATTGTTCATGATAAAACTTAAGCAAAATAATTAGTATGTAAGAACAAATGATATACTGATAGGTGTGTTTATTGTTGAAGTGTCTTCCTGATTTCTTTGGTAATAGCTACTATTCTCACCAGCCTCCTACTTCTCTATCTTTTAACTCAGTGACACCCAAAACTCCCCTTTACTGGCATGAAATTGATTCCCTTCTGTATGTTTCATCATTTTATTGCTCAATAAATACATTTTAAATGAATAAATAAAACCCACAACCTCTTGTATCAATTTTCCCCCCAGTTGTTTCAGTCTTTTGTTCTACGTCCTGAAGAAGACTTCAAAGGCAGGTGGTCCCTGACCACCTCTCCAGCCTCTCTGCTCACAGTAGCACCACGGCTTATCACGCTCCTCTTACACCAGGGCCCTTGCACATCCCACTTTTATCCCTGGCACACTCTTCTGTCACTTTTTACCTAAGAAACTCCCACTGGCATTTCATGTATCCATTCCAGCATCTCCCTTCCTCAGAGAAGCCTGCCTTGAATTTTCCAGTAAGTTAAACACAGTCATACATCGTGTTTTCAGTCTAACAAAATGAGATTACTAGGATTAGAACAAAACTATACCAATAGTGCATTTAGTCAGATAACACGGGGCAAGGTTCAGTCTCCAACCGGTATCTTTTCTGTCACTTTGGTTAAATTGCCTGAGCAAACGTAGCAGCTAGAAGGTATTTCACTTTAAGGAGATGAGATGTGAATGATTAGAAAATAAACTGTGTGACTGGCAGATCTTATAGATGGACAATTACTGGGCTCTTTTAAGTTGATATAAACTTGTCCAGAATGAAACTTGATAAAGATCAGAAACTACAGAATGTAAAACTCTTGTTCTTATGTCAGGAAATCCAGATTCACTCAAAACAGGATTAGTTGGTCTTTACGTGCTAGTGACAGGTCAGCCTCACTGGCCAAATACCGCTTGCAGAATTGGGCGTCCCCCTGCCGTTAGTTGGTGGCTAACCCGATGCTTTCCCTTCTTCAGGTCCTCATGTTTTCTAAAGGCATGAGCAGCTGTTAATGTAAATTGTTTTTGCTGTTTTCCTTCTAGTTATGAGCCAGAGTTATTTCCTGGTTTAATCTACAGGATGATCAAACCGAGAATTGTTCTCCTTATTTTTGTTTCTGGAAAAGTTGTATTAACAGGTAAGTTGTAACAGAAAGTAGTGGTTGCAGTTTTGAAAGTGTCGAGAATGGTATATTCTCAGTACTTAGAAGTAATATCAGTGTTGGGACATTTAACTAGTGAGTTGCAGAGAAGCCTTTCCCCTTTTCTCTCTTCCCAACACTGATGGGAAACGTCCACCAGAGGCGGGGAGCTGAGGAGTCAGGTCACAGCCTTGCTGATCCTTCAGTTGAAGCATCACCTTGGTGGGGAGGGGTGGAGGTGAGCATTAGATTGCATAACAGATGGTGGTTTAAGTTGGGTACCATTGCCTAAAACTTTGGTTTTCCTCAGCATTATCATTTTGCCTCAACAAAGGAAGATTCAAAAGAGCTTGTTTGAAAGCGGCAATTGGGAGAATAAGACTCCTGTCACGCTCAACTGCTGCCTTACTGGGCTCTGACCTAGTGCAGAGACCAACAGCTGTCACATGGGCAGACTGTAGGCATGGAAGGTGGAGTCATCTGTATTGTTGCTTTGGTAATTTTTTAAAGCCAAATGAAGAAAATACCTCTTTAAAAACAAAAATAGGATTGTGACAAGGGATTCCATTGTTAATGTTTTAATGCCTGGATATGGAGAGAATTGTGCTTTTGTGGTTTTGTTAAGAAATGCCATTTCAGACTCTTTTCTACTCTACTTGTCTTCGTAGGTGCTAAAGTCAGAGCAGAAATTTATGAAGCCTTTGAGAACATCTACCCTATTCTGAAGGGTTTCAGGAAGACAACGTAATGGCTGCTGTGTACTCCTGCCTCCCCCACCCACTTGTTTTTTTTTTTAAACCAGTCAGTTTTGGTACACTCAGTGGTGGTAGGATGGCCCATGTGGTAGCGGATGGACGTCTGGTTGTAGGGTGCAGCACCAGGTGAGGCGCTTCTCCACGTGTACCCCCATGGGGTGCCAGAAGGGGTGTCGTTTCTGCACAGAGAACACCGGAGCGTCACTGTAAGTGGCTCAGACTGTGCTGCTATACGGGCAGTGCTGCCTGTTATTTATATTTAGATTTTAAACACTTACTGCTGTTGACAAGTTGGTTTAAGGGACAAAACTAAGTGTTAAAGCCACCTCAACAATTGATTGGACTTTATTTTGTTTAATTTCTTCCCCATAAACCACAGTTTTATATTTCTACCAGAAAAGTAAAAGTCTTTTTTAAAAGTGTTGTTTTCTAATTTGTAACTCCTGAGGGTTATTTTTGTGCCAGACACATTCCGCCTTTTCAGTATTGCAGGACAGAATAGAAATGTATTAATGAAAACAAATGGCTGTACATATTTTTCTTCCTTCAGAGTACTCTGTACAATAAATGCTGTTTATAAAAGTGTTAGATTGATGTTGTAAATGAAACTTTGTAAGATTCATGTGATCATACTGTTAAAAAAATTGTATTTTAGATACAATGCCTGAAACCATTTCAGTGTGTTTGCTTGCTTGCTTCAGTCAACATTTCATTGTTGCAGTGAAAATGGCAGAACTGTGAAAGTTTACAGTTGCTCACAAAATGTGTTTATTACATCCTATATATTGAGCACCTTCTATTTCCCACATACCTTAATTCTCACAAACCTATAATCAGGTTTTGTTGCTGTTATATAAGGCAGGCAAGCTAGGTCCCACCTGGGGATCTGCCCCAGGTTACAGAGCAGGTAAGTGGCAAACATGGGTTCTAAGCCAAAGGCCTTCATGGTTAGAACTGGGGTAGTCCAATAGACTAATGGATGGGTGTCTGTTGTGCTCATAAATATCAGGTTAACATGTATAAGTTCTGGGGTTTCATCATATGTGATGTGTGTGATTTTAGTTGTATATTATTTTTCAGCAGCTCTGAGGTATATAATTAGAAAGGTGTTTCTTCCTTCCTCTCCCTTCTGTTTTCCCTGGTTAACTACAGACTGGTGTCTCCTCAGCTCTCTTCTGTTCAGATTCTTTCCCTTGGGGGTGGTTTTCTCCATATATGGAGAATACAGTAAAGCATATGTTTGATTTTATAGCCTCCTTTTTGTAGTCACTATATCATACACATATTTGCATGACAGACATACTTCCATGACATGGAACTCAGTGGTGTTCTATCTCTTACATACCTTTATGTATCTAACCATCTCCTGAATTACAATCATTTACGTTATCTGTGGTGTTTATTATAAACAGTGCAGCAGAGAACGTCCTTTTATGTGTACTTGTGGTGAGTACAGGTGTTTCTGTAACATCATTCCTAGGAGTCACTGTATTAAAGAAGTTATACATCCTAGGTTTTAATAGATCCATACCAGATTATAGTCCAGAAGTCATTAGTGATGTCAGTAATGTATGAATTCATCAGAAAGACATCATTCCAATAGTATCTCCTTCTATCCAAGAAAGAATTGTCTCCTCACATGTAGGTCTTCTCTTAGGTTCTTCAGTAAAATTTCATAATTTTTTTATTTAGGGCTTTTACATTTCATAAAAGTTAATTCCTAAGTATTTTATAGTTTCTTATTAATGGTATTTTTCAGAATACTTTAAAATTATTGATACATTTATTTCCAATCACTTGACTGTTGTAAAATGCAGCACACACAGGAAACCCAATACACGTTTCGCATAACATATTCCAGAGGCAGACACCCCAGCAGCCACCACCCTGAACCTTGCAAAACATCCCAGAAGCTCATTATGGTTCAGTCCAGACACACACTCCCATAACCATTATCCTTTTAATTACCAAACACCAATATTGATTAGTCTTCCATTTTAATAAGTTGGTATGTTTTTATGTCTGTTTTATTCCTGGAGTCCCCCGCCATCTCACTTAAGGAAACTTACAGGCTTGTTTGGCTGGTGGTGTCTTGCAGTCAGTGTGCCCGTCCTGTGTCCTGCAGGTGGGTGACTGCATCTGAAGGCTTGGTCCCTTTGTAGAGACTGTCAGTAGTGGTTTTAGGAATTGAATGTCTGATTGTCTCCTCATTGATCCATTAATTCATTAGGTTGTAAAAGATGAAATTTTAATCACTTTATCATTACTTGTTGGAAAATTTTTTTATAGTGATATACTTCACATAGCAGGGTAAGTGCTTACTTCTTTCCCTTTAAAACTTCTCAAGATAAAAATGCCTCATGAATTCATATTAATACATGCAGTCCAGACTATAGGGCTTCTAGTCAGCTTTGTATTTTTTTAAATTCATGAATCAGCCACAGTATGCATGTGTCCCCCATCAGCTCTGTATTAAGTGTTTTATGCTGAGAACCCTTAATTGTTAGACACATGGGATGATGAGTTAGAATGACGGAGTACTACCACCAGTATGATTATCAAAAGCACTGAAACGTTTCTTCACTAAAATCTCTGAATTGTTGAAGGCCGAGACCCGCACTCATATCTAACTTAAGGAGAGGTGGATGCTCTGCTCTCTGCAGTGGGGTAAGCTGCCTGGTCAGGCCAAGCCAAGGTTTGGGGGGATGGTGGAGCACATGGTTTGGCAGTTTGCATCCTCTGTAGGAGCAGTTGCTGTGTCTTGCATCAGTCATTGCATGGTCAACATTAAGATTTTTTAATGTGTCTTCACATTTCTAGAGACAACTGAGTTACTTTTTTAATCTAAGTTTTAAAATTTTTTAGTTATTTCAACTAGTTGCTTTTTTTGGACATGGCTGCTAAGTCAGTGCTGTGATTTGAATGTCTGTGTCCAAGTAGAAATGCCCTGTGAACTCACTGTCATCTCCAGACTGTGGCAGGAATATACACCTAAAGGATAGCTTGGCTGATTACCACACAAACGCCTGCAAGAATGTCTATGTAGACATCCAGGGATGTCTCCAAGTAGACCATAGTGAATTCACTTAAAAAGTCCTTAGCAGTCAGGGTGCTGTCCTGTTTTGGCACTTATATCTGAGTTACAGTTTGGACTATGGAGGTCCCACTAGATGAGTTCTCCAGCGAGCTTCCAGCTAAGTGTGTGACTCTTGCCATATTGTCTCTCAGTAGCCACAGGCTATGTCCCCTTAATTATGGGTGATTGTCACTGACTTAGCACTCCTAGTTTCAGTACTGTTAACGCTGTTCTCTCCCTCTGAAACTTGCATTTAACAATCTCTCCATGGGATTCCATACTGCAGTTTCCCATATAGTGCTACATGTAACTGTTTTATATATGCATCTTTGTATGAATTACATACTCACATACACCTGGTGGCTCAAGACGGTAAGGAATCCGCCAGCAATGCGGGAGACCTGGGTCTGATCCTAGGGTTGGGAAGATACCCTGGAGAAAGGGATGGCTACCCACTCCAATATTCTTACCTGGAGAATTTCATGGACAGGAGCCTGGCAGGCTACAGTACATGGGGTTGCAGAGTCGGACATGACTGAGCAACTAATACCACTACAGTAGTAACACTACTATACATATGATACCGAGTAAAAGGCTAGGACTTCCTGATATAAAGGTATAATGAAGTGATCAAGTCAGTGACATTACCAAGTGACATTACGCCATTCTAAGTTGTGTTTATGGCAGCAGTGCATTTCAGGGTTAGCAGGGCCGTTAACCAGAATTAGCTGTTGGTCTGCAAGCAGTGATCGACAGCGATGTCTCTTCAGGTTTGCCTTAGTGCTGGGCAGGCTTCACTGCTGCTAAGAGAACTGGGAATTATCTCACTGGAAGTGCATATTGCTTGGGGTGGGAAGGAGCCTTAGCACTGACTTAGGAACCACTTGTGTAAACAGAATATCCCTCATCTGAAAGTCTCTTCAGGGCCTCCGTTAGGCCCAACAGTCTCTGAGGCCCAACCCAGAGAAATTTCAGTGGTTGATTCCAAATCATTACTTGGGTTTACCTGCCACATGGGCAGTGCTATGAGACAGGCAGATGGAAAGAGAAGACCATCACTCTTGCCTTTCAGTCTGCGGTCTGTAAGTAGTGCCACTGGCTGACTAAGGTCAGTTTTGAGGTAGAGCTTTTCAAAGTCAGCTCTTCTGATCACAAATCTACTGGTTTTTCTGATCCTGCTAACTGTTGCTTTCAGAATTAGTGGGTATCCCATTCATCATGCTAATTAGTGACTGATTAGTGATTAGTGAATGGTTTTCCAGGCAAGAGTAATGGAGTGGGTTGCCATTTCCTTCTTCAGGGGATCATCCCAACCCAGGGATCAAATCCAGGTGTCCCACATTATAGGCAGACACTTTACCATCTGAGCCACCAGGGAAGTCCAATTATTGAATGGGGTTCAGAATTTTCTCACATTGTGGGCTTCCATGTAAACTGGAGCCTGTGACAATCACCTGATTATTATACATGTCTCCTGGGGTTTTACCCAAATATTTTTCTCTTAAATTTTGCAAATTTTAGGGGGAAAATGCTGTGAATGATAGTTTGACTTAATTAGGCACCTAATCCACTTTTATTGTAAAAAGAAATATAAGTACAAAGATCTTAGTTCTTTTTAAATATGGCAAAAGTAAAAAATTAATTTTAAATATAAGTGAAAAGTTCTTGGTTCCACTGTTGAGTTCACAACTAGTATCTTGCCAATTTTTTGATGCACATACACATGTATATTTTTACAAAAACTGCACACTATGAATACCATCTACCATGGTGTTAGAGGTGGCACTGTGTATTTTATTTGACCCGCATATAGGTCTGCGTCATTAAGATCGCAGCCTCCTGCTGGACAGACACACCAGAACTGACCAGAACTGAATTCCCTGCCACTGGACACTTGTCTAGCATTCAGACAGTGTAAACAACACCTAAAACACCTTTGTGTATCCCTGGTATGACTGTTTCCTTAGGATAAAGTTCTAGAAATGGAACTGCAAGGTAGAAGAGATTATGAATATTTTAAGGCTTTACACCATTGTCTTTAGGCTGCATCTGTTATATCCTGCTTCCAAACAAACTCCTCTGCATAGCCAATGCCCAGTTCGCAGCTTTCAGCACAGGTGAAGACGGCCAGGACGCCCCAGTCGATGCTCCTGCCCAGTCTGTCCGCCTTCAGGTAGTTGAGCAGCTGAGGCATGACCTGAGAAAAGGGTGGCACAGTCAGAGCCCTCCTTGGAGGCGAGGCACACACACAGTTTTCAACAGACCAGATCTTCCCTGCCAGAGCGACTGTAGGGACCCTGATCACTCAGCTCTCAGTCTCCACATTCTACAGCAAGGTTGCAGACATGACACTGGTAACTTACTAACAATCTAAAAATACTTTGCAGCTCTGTGTTTCTTTAAAGCCCCTCTTTATATCTGGTGTCCTTTTATCTGAGAAAGAAGTTCCCAAGTATAAGACTGGCTGATCTGTTTAACTGGGCTGTTAACCTAATTATTTTTTAATAATAATAATGCCACAAAAATAGGGCAGAGGCTTCTATTTGGGCAACTTTTATTTTGTGCTATTACAACCTGAATAGCAGATGCCGTTACTATGACTCTGAAGAAACACTACCATAGTAGAATACAAAAAGACAATCTACTGATGTATTTGTTTAGACTAGAAAGGAGTCTGAGGAGTCCGTGGTCTCCTGGGAATGAGTCCGAGGCAGCACTGCCACCAATACTATCAGACTGCCGTACACCAAGAACCAGTCTGTTTGGGGTCAGTCCTCAAATTACCCTTTCAACCGTAAGAAACAACTATGACTTTATAATGTTAGTGAATTGACAGTTCAAGAGTTGTTTCCACCCAACCTAAATGGATTCTGATGCTAATCATCTCTTTTCGGCAAGACAAATTTTATCTTAATGATTACATTCATTTGTTCTAACAAACCCACAAACCAAGACCAAACAGAGCAAGGGTTCTAAAACACTCCTCTCATAAAGATTGAAGCTACATCATTTTAAATTATAAAGGTAACAACAGAGGCACTAAAAATAAAGATATAACCACACTGGGAAGCAAGGGATGGTCCAGGTGGCATAAGTGACATTTAAATCCTCACCACTACAGAAGTCAGTCAACAGATAATGTCTAATAACTAGTAAACTGATAAATCTCAGAAAAAGCAAACAAATTAAGAGGCAGAAATAACTTCCAGATTAACCAGTAAAGGATAATTCCCTCCTTGGAACATACTGTAAGGTGATGCAGAAACTACTAATCGTCCTTAAAGGGCATCTTCTATACATAATACCCCTAGGAACTCTTGCACATAAATTACTTTGGCAAAATCTTTTAATATTTAATAGGGTAAATATATACTAAAATATTCCTTTTTAAGATCTTACCTGGAATTCAAATAATCTCTTAGCACCACAGGGGCAATCTGGAATATCCTTTTCTTGAGGGATATTTTTACCAGAGATCCAGAGCGGGGCAATCCCTCTGCCGTATCTGAGAATCTAAAATCAATTAGGATCCACTTAAATCACCAGCATCTCATGTGATCTGAGGATCATCTCGAGAAACTTTGTACATACTCTGACAATTGATGAAATGCTCATCTGAAAACCAGTTTCCTGTCTGCCCCTCCCCCACTCCCTGGCAGATACACACTGGGCACCGTTAATGCCTCAGTATCGTCAAAGTGATGCTTTCAGCTCATCTGATTCAGGTTATCAAAAGTATTTTTCTTAGATGACTATGATTAGAATGAATTCTATGGCTATTTTGTGAAGAGACTAACAATAATTCTATTTCCCCATTACCAGGTTGTGAATATAAAATGCAACCCAATGTCTCTGCTTACCTTCACACAGATAAGGAACCTTAGTTGCCAAAATACCAAGTGAGACACACTGTTTTAAATACAACAGAAGTAAATTTCACTATAATAAGATCTTATGTAACAACTGAGTGATGTTCCTAGATGCTTCCTGTTAAAAAAGAAATAGGCATTGCTAAAATCCACCTTCTCAGTATTGAGGACCTAGATCTATTCTTCCTATAAGCCCCTTAGTATTTATTTGCTCTAGTGACTGACTTATGGGAATTCTGCAGAGTGTTTAGTGGTTTATATTTATGGTGAGGGAAATTAAGGGAATAAAGTTAATGGAAGAAAACAGGCAAAGGGAAACATTTGCTGAACACTTACTTTAAGTCTATAATCTACCTTAATCCTCCAAACCACTCTTTTTTCCTCCCTACACTGTAGATACAACTACATCAGAACGCCAAAATGTAACTCAAGGAGCCAGGAATCCTCACAACACCAAAACCCATTATTCTTTTGACAAAGCCAGTAATTTCTCTACTAATGTGTCAGGTTAATTTTTATAAATCAAAGGTCCCTGCTGGAAAAATGCGCAAAAATTTCCTTTCTGTCTTGCCATTAGTGTCTAAACTCCATGTGTTACAGGCAACAAAAGATGTTTCTCTCTTATTGATGATGGTTTTAGAAAATGACTATATGATACACAATGTAGCCTTTAGTCTTCCCGTAACTATTAAAAGGATCAGCACTGCAAACACCTTTCCCTATGGATCCCGTGTGAAGGAATCCTACAGACAAGAGACTAACTTTATTAGAAAGAGTTACTTCTACACAGGTGTGGTGGTGTTTTTTTTTTTTTTTTAAGGGGGGGGTGTGGCGCACACCGTGGCTTTTGAGATCTTAGTCCCCCAACCAGGGATTGAACCTGGGCCCTCAATAGTGGGAGTGCAGAGTCCTAACCACCAAACCACCAGGGAATTCCCACCTCAATTCCCATGTGAAAAGAACAGAAGGAGCTATATGAGTTCCATTTTACCTGTTCTGGTTCAAGGGATATTTTAGTCTTAAACTTCTGGAAAATTTTATCTTCCTTAGATTCATGTTTTGCCATGGATTCCAAGTCTTCCTCATGTGCTTCACCTGAAAAATCATCAACATTACTATTATGTCAACAGGAATAACCCACATGTCTTGACAATAAACACATGCCAAGGAAAGCCAGTTTTTAAGCAACCAACTTAGTGTTAAATCAGACACTGAAGGCCTGATGTTTTTGCAGGGTTTTCCTGTTTTGGTTTATTAACATCTGTGCTTTAAGACTACCTGACTTTCCAGGTACTCCATGAAGCATTATTATTCTGCTGGTTCTTTTAAAGAGCTTTTCCTTGAACCTTTAAATTAAGAATAGACTCCAAGTCCCAGGTTCAGGACTGCTGTACCCAGCACTGAAAAGGATACTCCCAAATCACGAGCCCTTCTAATTCCTACTGTCCTTCACTTGTTTGAACTGTTATTTACATTATTTTTCCTGCCCCATTTCTCCTTTCCCAGCTGGTACACTCATTCTGTCATCAAAGGCTCACTGGACCTGTCAGCTCACACTTTAACTCTCACCTCTGGAATCCCAGCTACCTGAATCACCCTGTCCTGAACAGGCAAGACTCGTTGTAACTCAGAGGGTATTTCTGATATCCTGCATGTGAACTATAAGCCAGTAAGCTGACATTCTAATGTAAAAATTAATTTAGATTCTAAAAATCTACATTCTGTGGTGAAGAGATCAAGTTCTAAAGTCAGCAAGATGTGAGCTCAAACTCCAGTTCTAAAACTTAACTGTCAGTTATATGCCCAAACAAGTTATACCCAGAACCTCAAATTCCTTACTGCAAAATGAGGTACTGCTTTCAATGTATTGTTCTGGTGGGAAAATCTCAGTGAGATCATGCACAGAAGGCCCATGGTATGATCTGTACAACAGAGAATGTGCTGGAGAAATGCTGGCTCCTACTGAGTCTCAGCACAGGCACTGCTCTAGCACGTGACCATCGTGAAGTAACTGACAGAATCATGGATCTGAAACTTGCCAGGTAAGAGGGCGCCTGCCACCCACCAAACACTGCAAGGCACTCTCATGTACACCATCTCAGTTTGGAGAAACAAATCTTGGAACCAGATAGACTTTCCAAGTTTCCAGCATCTTGTGCAGTCCCACCCAACTGACCAACTGGAATACACCCTGCGACACTTCATAGCAATCAAAATATACATTACATATACCAAGGAGGGAAGTACAGAAAGGCTATCTTCAAATGAGGCAGTATTTGAAAAGCACAGGTTGAAGCCTCCCAAGTGAGTTGCTCAGTGCTTCTCTTCTTGGCATATCGAGCCCTTTCTTTCAAGTATTATATTCACTCAGTTAATGAATGAGTTTTGAAACAGATTCCTTACCCATGCCTCCTATAATCTCTGATTCATTATCTCGTTCCACAACTTCAGGCATAATCTCATCTTCTGTTTCTATTACAATTTCAAATTCTGGAAAAAGGAAGTTGTGATCTGGAACTGTATTGCCCAAATTATCTGAAACAAAAAAGGTAACTAGCATCATTAGTGATCATTTAGTTTTGAAAATCAAATAATTTCCTTTTACTGAAATGTATTCCGTGTTATAACAGTTTTCCTTAGAAACTAACATATGTAGCTCCGGCATTTTAGATTATGATTCATACATTAAATGACTATATTAAAGCATGGTTGGGATGTGAGTGGGTGAGAACTCACAGCTCCTTCTTCATAAAGGTGTTTATGGCACTAGTTAACCAAAATTCTGAAAATTATTACAACTTTTCTAATGTTAACCTTTATCCTCAAAACGAAAGATCTGGCCTATAGACACGAGGAAACTGAGCTGATATTTAAAAATAAAAAAAGAATTGACTGACCTGTCTGCGCACAAGCCTGCTTATGTCCTAATCGCCAATCCAGACTCTGATGCTCCTTACTGCAGTAATGTGCCTTGTGACATCTGGAGCATCTTTTGGGGCCTGAACAGCCACAAACTCTGCAGAGATGTGCACCAGACTTGAGCTGGAGATACACAGACTCTCCTGTCTCTGACGGAGGATCCTCAGAAGGTGGCTCATAGGAGTAGAAGTCATTTCTTCTGGGCAGCTGATTTCTGAAAACTAAGGGGACAGAAGGAGAACTGTTAATGAATGATTTAAACAAAACAATACAGCAATTCAAGTATTTTGAGCCTTCACACTAGACTGAAAAAGACATTCATTTTTTAAAAAGAAAAACTGAAGACAGTTTTCCCGTGCAAAGAGCTTATTTTTTGGAAACGGAGAAAAGAATGAGAAACTTCTACAGTTCACACAACTAAGTACGCTCTCACAGTTTATTCAAATTAACAAGAATAATAGGTAAAGTCAGACTACAGAAACATGAAAAACCTGTTGAGATCCACCTTTCCGAAAAGTGACGATTTCTATTACCTGAAAGTAACCTACCACACCTATTACCTACTAATTAACCAGAAGGCTGGCGGCTAGGAGTGAGCGAACACGCGGGACGCCCCCACCCCCGCAAGTATTCGCGGGGTTCCGGGTGGGAGAGGCCGGTGGGGTACGGGGGAGGCCGGGTGGCTTCTGGGGTCCGACCCCGAGCAGAGGCCGCGGCCACTCACCGCGCAGGCCGCAGCAGCACGGTGGCGTCCGGCAGCAGAAGAGGAAGAGACAACGGTGGAAGGCGTCGGCGCGGCCTGGCAGCGGCGCGTACACCTGCAGCAGGAAGGCCATCGGGCGGCCACACAGCGGGCAGGCCAGCTCCGGAGGCCCGGGCAGCCCAGCCGCACTCAGCCACGCCGGCCGGCCGCCCACTTTGCTGGGGAACTGCTCGCTGCGCAGCCGCCACGATGGCGCCGCCTCCACGAAGCCCAGCTCCGCCGGCCCAGCGCTTGGAGACGCCATGGGGTGGGGTGCAGGCTAGTCCTACCGCAGAACCACCGCCGCCGCCGGAAGTCGGCGCCGGAAATGCGGACGGCGGGCCAGACGTGATTGGATGACAGCGCAGAGGGGGCGGGGCCACGGGGGACCGGATTGGGCCGGCTCACTTATTCCCGGTTTCCGGTCCTTGCCTGGGGCTAAACTGTAAATGTCAGGTGTCTTGTTAAGTTTAGTTCAGTGGCTCAGTCGGTCCGACTCCTTGCGACCCCTTGCGACCCCATGGACTGCAGCACGCCAGGATTGCCTGTCCATCACCAACTCCTGGAGATTGCTCAAACTCATGTCCATCGAGTTGGTGATGCCATCCAATCATCTCATCCTCTGTCCTCCCCTTCTCCTCCTGCCTTCAATCTTTCCCAGCCTCAGGGTCTTTTCCAATGAGTCAGTTCTTCGCATCAGGTGACCAGAGTATTGGAGCTTCAGCTTCAGCATCAGTTCTTCCAATGAATATTCAGGACTGATTTCCTTTCGGATTGACTGGTTTGATATCCTTGCTGTCCAAGGGACTCTCAAAAGTCTTCTCCAATACTACAGTTCAAAAGCATCAATTCTTTGGCGCCCAGGTTTCTTTATAGTCCACTCTCACATCCATACATGATTACTGGAAAACCATAGCTTTGACTAGACAGAACTTTGTTGGCAAAGTAATGTCTCTGCTTTTTAATATGCTGTCTAGGTTGGTCGTAACTTTTCTTCCAAGGCACAAGTCTTTTAATTTCATGGCTGCAGTCACCATCTGCAGTGATTTTAAGAGTCCCCTGCCACCCCCCCCCAAATGAAGTCTGTCACTGTTTCCACTGTTTCCCCATCTATTTGGCATGAAGTGATGGGACTGAATGCCATGACCTTAGTTTTCTGAATGTTGAGTTTTAACCAATTTTTCACTCTCCTCTTTCAGTCTCACCAAGAAGCTCTGTAGTTCTTAGGGTGACAATATACAGCCTTGACATACTCCTTTCCCAATATTACCTAGGAACCTGGAATGTTAGCTCCATGAAAGACTAGAGATCTCTTCAGGAAAATTAGAGATACCAAGGAAACATTTCATGCATAGATGGGCACAATGAAGAACAGAAGTGGTATGGATCTAACAGAAGCAGGAGATATTAAGACGAGGTGGCAAGAATACACAGAAGAACTGTACAAAAAGGTCTTAATGACTGGGATAATCACGGTGGTGTAATCACTTGCATACAGGCAGACATGCTGGAGTCTGAAGTCAAGTGGGCCTTAGGAAGCGTTGTTTTGAACAAAGCTAGTGGAGTTGATGGAATTCCAGCTGAGCTATTCCAAATCTTAAAAGATGATGCTGTTAAGTGCTGCACTCAATATGCCAGCAAATTTGGAAAACTCAGCAGTGGCCACAGGACTGGAAAAGGTCTGTTTTTATTCCAACCCCAAAGATGGGCAACGCCAAAGAACCTTCAAACTATGGGACTGAACTCCTTAATACCTCTATACATATAACTATAAATATCTCTACACATCTAGATACAAAGATCTCTATACATATAATTAGAAAGGTCTCTATACATATGATTGTAATGATCTATATAACCATAAATATCTATATACATGTTGATATATTAACCACTTCAAGACCTTAAGCCATCATTCATTTGTTGGAGACCTGCTTACACAGTGAATAACGCAAGCAACAATTTATTAAATAGAACACGTCATATTGCTAGAACATAATAAGATCATACTATAACAGAGAGAGATAGAAAGCATAAACAATTTTAAACCAAAGAGAACACATCAAAGCAATGATTAGTATAATTACTTGAAATCTGGTCACAATAAACCATCAAGTCCATAGGGTAGCCAGCTGAAGAAGTTAAATTCTGGAAGGTTCAGTTAAAGAGGAAAAGGTAAATGTTTTATCTTTGTTTACAAAGGTATACTTTATCAGTGCATTGATACATATTTGTCGATACCTTGTATCAACCTACACATACTCCTTTGAACTCATGTAGCCTGTTTCATCTTCAGTGTTCCAAACATAGCCCTCTGATCTGTTGCAACTTTTTTTTTTACTGCCAAAATTTAATCTAGTGTCATTAAACACAATATTCAAATATTCAACTTTTCAAGCACATGAAAGTTATCATCTGAAAGTGGGCTATTTTTATAGTTTCCTTAGTGTAACTTTACAAAATTCTTTTTCTCAACAATGTCTGACACTGATCTTGATGCTTGTTAGGCAGCCTGATGTAAGATGACATCTCAACAGGCAGAGATTTAGGAGATGATCTGAACACCCATCTTCAGAATTCATCCTAGGATGACTGATCATCATCTTCGTCCCTTACTTCTTGGTATCTCCTTGAAGACTCCCCTTCTGGATTACAGCTCTGCATTTTAATATTTGGTCTTTCCGCTAGCTTCTGTGCTGCGAGCTCGGCTTGCATCTCCTCGTGACTCTGCTCCTGCTGTCTCTGCAGTACCAGCGACCCCTCTATGGAGAGCAGCTGTGTCGGCAGGTGGTGCCGCGGCAGAAGCGGGGCCGCTGTGATGTCATCGCGATGCTTCCTGTCCCCGCGCCGCCCCTCCTCTGAGGAGATGGGAGACCCTCTCTGACAATCACTCGATGAATCATGCGGCTGTGAAGGTAATACATTGGTTTTAAATTTATGTGGCGGGGGCATGGGGTTTTTGGCTCGCATTTCCAGCACTTCCATGCAATGAGGCTTCTTCTGCGGCCCAGTCCAGAGGCTGGCAGAGTTCTCAGGACTCTGGTTTCCTTCTGAATGGTGTTCAGTGGGGTCCGCAATTGTGATCCTTTGTAATCTATTGATGGACAGGTTGTCTGAGCTGCCAGGATGATCCTCCACTTGACCTAAGGCACAATGCTGAGGGAGACCCTCACTAGCTTCAGATGAGGAAGGCACTGGGGCTCTGCTGCTAGAAGTTGGGTGCTCACTCACTGTGTTCAGCCTCAGTTGCCTCAGCATCACCTCCGCGAGTCGGATGTGCCAGTCCCTGTTGTGAGGTTGTCTGAGATAATGTGATGTTAGCTACAGGGGAACTGGTGATGAAGTATCAAGTATCTGGTCAGAATTCTGGGCCTTATCTCTGTCTCCATCAACAACTGCAATTGCTTTTTGCCTCCCCTTACAGTCAAAGCTAACTGTCTAGGATAGTCTAGGATAAAAGAGTTCACTTCTTTCTCTAACTTCTTCACATTCTGCAATGGCAGCTTTCAGTTTGGCGACAGCATCTGAGAGCTTTTTACCTTTATTGGGCAATTTGCAACTTAATTTTACGTTGCGCAGTCTCTCCTGGCGCTTCAACATTTCCCGTAGCTCCGCCAGACTCTGCTGCCCCAAGTCCTCGGGAGTTTGGGGCTGGAAGCCGCGGGGCAGCGAGGACCTTCTGCGGGGGCTGAGGCTGGCGAGGCCGTGGGCGCTCGGCTTCCTCAGCAGCCCCCGCAGCTGGCGCCAGTTACGCGGCCGGCGGGGACTCCGGCGAACGAGCGGGAGTCGCCATTTTCCCCAGTCTGTTGCAACTTTGTCCAGTCCTTTTTCTCAATTTTATAACAGAAGGATAGAAACTTCATGTATTTATATAGACCAGTAGAAGATACTAGGATGTCTTAGTCTAATGGGTTTCTTTGGTGGGGGTGGGTGGGGGGCTTAGAAATCATTTAAAATCTCAACCATTCTTCCTGCTTCATCATTTTCAGATTCCTTTGAGATGCAAAAAGCTTTGGAAGCAGTGTTTAATATAATCTGAATTTGCCAGGTATTTCTCATTCTGAGTAAATGCAGATCTGAGAGGTAGAATTTGATGGGTACAAAAAGAAAAAAATCTTGAATGTAGGGACATTAGTAGAAATTGGGAAAGGCATGCGACCAGAGCGCAATCACAGTGGATCAACTCCACCTCCATCACAAATGTGAACAAGCTTATCCTGATAATAACATTCACAATGGAGGAGTTAAAGTGTTATCATGAAAAATTTTTTACAAAAAGGACAGAGGAAAAGTTTTCATGGTAGAATACACCTTTCAAAGTGCCTGTAAATTTCAGATAAATGTTTCATTATTTGAAATTTAGAGTTTATTACTTACAGACTGTTCAAAGAAATGTAGATCAACCTTCTGATTCACAAATCTGATTCACACTCAACAGAACTTAGCTCAAATCATTGTAGCTAATCTAAAAAATACTGAGCTACAGATCTGACAAGAAACATTCACTCTCACACATGGAATACCACAATTGTCTTCACATATTGCCTACTATAGTCAGACCCTTAGTTCATAGTCCATATAAACTCATACTGTGGTAATTGATTCAAATCTGAAACCAAGCTTTATTGGAAGGAAGTGGTTTGCCTACCAGCAGTGTAGAAGGTTTGCCTTTTCTCCAGGCCATCTCCAACATTTGTTGTCACCAATGCTCGACAGGAATATAGTAGGCATTTCAATTTATTTGTCAAAATAATGGTTATTTTATTTGGAATATAGTTCATTTCCCATGTTGTCTTTGTTGCAGGTATACAGCAACCAGATTAAGGTATACATTTGTTCCTCAAAAAGTGAAAGTGTTAGTCATTTAGTCGTGTCTGACCCTTTGTGACCCCATGGACTGCAACACCCCAGGCTTCCCTGTCCTTCACTATCCCCTGGAGTTTGCTCAAATTTATGTCCATTGAGTCCGTGATGCCATCCAACCATCTCATTTTCTGTCACTCCTTCTCCTCCTGCCCTCAGTCTTTCCCAGCATCAAGGTCTTTTCCAATGAGTCAGCACTTCACATCTGGTGGCCAAAGTATTGGAGCTTCAGCATCAGTCATTCCAATGAATACTCAGGGTTGATTTCCTTTAGGATTGACTGGTTTGATCTCCTTGCTGTTCAAGGCGGTTCTTTATTGCTAGTGCCACCTGGGAACCACAGTAGGCCCTGCCCGTGTCCCCACCAGGGATGAATCCCAGCAGGACATCAGAGCTCAGAGACTTCAGGGCACCCCTGCCCTCAGGACTGGTCTTTTTTCCAACCAGCTGCTTGTCAGAGGCCCAGGCACCCCAATCCTGACTCCAGCTTCCAAGACTAGAATTCTGGGACAACTTAGGGGTAAGAAAAACCCTCACACACCTGTTCCTGCTTGGGGGCTCAGTCAGTTCAGTTGCTCAGTTGTGTCTGACTCTTTGCGACCCCAGGGACTGCAGCACCCCAGGCTTCACTGTCCATCACCAGCTCCTGGGGCCTAGTCAAACTCATGTCTATCGAGTTGGTAACGCCATCCAGCTATCTCATCATCTGTTGTCATCTTCTCCTCCTGTCTTCAATCTTTTCCATCAGGGAAAAGCATCAGGTGGCATAAAAGCTGCACCTGGCAGATCACTGAGAGCTGAGTGTTTCTAGTAGGTATGGGTGGGGGGATGAGGTGTGAGCTTCCTACATCTGCAGGGCCTTTGCATTGCCTCTGGCCAGTCAGCTCCCCATGTCATTTTCCCAGGAAGCTGAGATTGAGGATTACCAGGGCAGAGGTCTTCCCCTTGTGTAACTTTCACTCTCACAGTGAGGAAACGGCCCCCACCATCTGCCATTCATCTGCGTGTTGCTCCTTTCCAGATGACATGTGTAGAGGTTTCCACTTTATTAGCTACTACGCCCTGGAAAGAACCCTGTAAACTCAAGTCCATTGTTTATGGAAGCTCCATTTTGCCTTTAGTCTACAGATTCTGTTCTTTTCCAATGTTAACTTAGCACTTTTTGCCCCATCCCCTACAGTGAGGTTTTTCTGTGTGTTTCTGTTACAGTTAGATGCAGTGTTACATTGTATATTCCCCTGCTACATCCAAAATAATGAAATCAGAGTAGATTTTGATTAACACCTTGGGCTACACAAATCTGTGGGCTTAGACAAACGCATAGTGACAGATATGCATCCTAAAGTATCACATGGAATCCTTCAAACTCCCCCATCCCATCTTCTGCTTATCATCTGTGTAGCTTTGCCTTTCCCAGAATGTCATAGATGGGCATAGATGCCCACAATGTCATATTGTGGGCAGCTCCCTCAGAATGGATTCTTTCACTTAACACAATATATATGTAAGGTTTATCCTTGTGTTTCCATGGTTGGTGGATCATTCTTTTCTATTGCTGAGCAGTATTCCGTTGCATGTGTATGGGAGGAAAAGCAATTTCTCTACTCTTCTAGATTCTTAGTTGAGACGTCCCCCATAAAAAAATAAAAAAAAATTATCAGGAGAAAACCAGACATTAAATAACATGTATTCCTCCTGTATAAAAGGGAGCAGAAAAACTGAGTTAGTTCCTGAAATATCCAAAGCCATCACCTTAAATGCCATCCTCAGAAACAAAAGAAAGACCTTGGGGGAGGGGGGAAGCTAATTATGACAGGTTATAATACAAAACATAGTGAAAAAGGGTATTATTGTTTGCAGATTTAAGTCAGGACTTCTCCTTTGATAAGAGTTACTTGAAATTTAATTATCTGCCTATTCCTGGTTCGGAGAGGGACATACCTATACAAATGGAGATTTCTCTATTGTAAATGAAGTTCCATATTCTTTCTTTATTTATTCATCTAGCAAGAGGCCTGCAGTGAGGATTTTACACCTTATTAGAAATATGAAACCTTAGAAATATCTTACTGTTTCTTTAATAGCCACAGCACTTATATGTTACCTGTTACAATGAGTCTAAATGTCTTTTTTTGAAGTCAGTATAGACCAAGAGATTTCAAAGGTGTAATGAAGTATAATTTATATGATTCCTTATTAAAGGACTATAGAACTCTGTGTACATGAAGTGAATGGAAGTCAAACATGGTAATCAAGCCATATTCTTACTAGAGTGATGTGCTTCCATCCCACCATATTGTAGTTCACAGGTAAATCCTGCAGTCACCTGGCTTCAAGAAATATTTCCTGCCTTCCAGAAAGAAACAGTGAGAAAGCCATGTCAAAATTGATGCTGTTTTTTTTTTTTTTTGATTTGCATTTTACCACAGGGCTTGGACAAAGAGGCCCTAACCGGGTTTTTATAGTACATTCCAAGACTTGCTCTAGCATGTTCTATGTATCAACAAGTTGCTGATTATTTTCAACAAATGACAATGATCAGCACTTTATATTTACTATTTGTTGCTTGAGCTGGAATAGTAGGCATCCTTTTAAGTGCATTACTTCATGCTGAAGTGGACATACCTGAAGTAGTACCATAATATGAACAAATGTATAATGTAGCCATCACATCCCATGAATTTGTAATAATTTTTAGTTATACCCATCATAACTGGAGGACTTGGAAACTGACTTGTCCCAGTAATAATTGGAATATCTAGTATGACATTGCCTTGACTAAGTAATAGATGCTTTTGAGAACTTCTCCTGATATTCTTACTCCTGCTCCTGTCATGAAGAGTAGAAGCTGATGGCAGCAGTTCATGCAATGTATATTGATCCCTAGGTTGGTACAGCAGAGAAGGCATGGCACCCCACTCCAGTCCTCTTGCCTGGAAAATCCCATGGACCGAGGAGCCTCGGTCCATGGGGTCGCTAAGAGTCAGACACGACTGAGCGACTTCACTTTCACGCACTGGAGAAGGAAATGGCAACCCACTCCAGTGTTCTTGCCTGGAGAATCCCAGGGATGGGGGAGCCTGGTGGGCTGCCGTTGATGGGGTCGCACAGAGTCGGACAGGACTGAAAGAACTTAGCAGCAGCAGGTTGGTACAGAATGTGCCTGCTTATGCAGGAGATGCAAGAGATGTGGGTTCAGTCCCTGGGTTGGGAAGATCCTCTGTAGGAGGCCCTGGCAACCTACTCCAGTATCCTTGCCTGGAGAAACTCATGGATAGGG